TTTGAAATTCCATAATTTCATACATAGCTTCTGTATTTTATATTCAATTCCAACAATGCATTATTTTGGGTCTAAATTTATTGTTGCTGTTGATTTGCACTCATAGAGGCTATTATCTGGATTTGATAGAATTCTTTAAAAGATAATGCTTGATTGTAGTCTTGTGAGATGGTTTCTTTTGCTTCAGCCAGTTGTGTGTGTGTGTGTACACACTGATCTCAGGACCTTTTGGGACCCCCTTAAAGTTTTTAACTCAGAGGAGGGGGGTCTCATAATCAGGTCCTATTTTCATTGCTATTTCAAAGATGCTCACACACTGCCAGTAAAGAATTCTGGCTTCAGGGCAATCCTACCCCTTCATAAAGCCTACAGGCTCCCTACCTACCATCTGGTTCCATCCACTTGTAAATTCTGTTGCTCTGGCTGGGGTCCTCACCTATGTGGTCTGGTTCTTAGTTATTTCCAGCAAGTCCAATGTAGGCTCCAAGTTACCTAGTTCCCACCCTTGGCTACATGGAGCTCAGCTCTTGGATTTTTAAAAAAATTATTTTTACTTATTTTTTTTAATTGTGAAGGGGAAAATCACTGGAGACTAGAAATGCTCTGGTGTATGTTGTATTTGGGGTCTAGCTATTGTGAAACAAAAATTAACCAGAGCATCTAAAATCTCATGTATCTGGGAGAAAATACACATGAATTAATTTTATAATCAGTTAAATAACAAAAATAAAAGGCCACAAATATCTTTATCTGAATTACTAATGTACACGTTTAGTGGTAATTTATCACTATGAGAAATTGAGTTATGAGTATCATCTATCTAGCATTTTCCTGTTGCTTAATTTATTTCTCAGTCCAAATACTAGCTAAAGGATACTTTCCATGGACTGAATCTTTGTAAATTTTAGAAAAACATATTTAAGTTGACAAATGAAGGCTGACATTTGGCGATGCTTTAATAGGCTGAACACCAAGCAAATCCTATTCCTTTATTTGTTCATTTTGCAATAAGTCTTGACATCACCTTCTCCTCTTTCTTAAATTTGCTTACTTAGCAAGGCACAAAGCAGTTTTGATGTGCAATCTGATTTCAAAAGAATCTTTGAGACAGCTAATCTTCTGTACACTCACTGTAATTAAATATTATAGCACAAATGGTACACAAGGTACTCACTTTCTTGAGAACCTCTTAGCACCAAAGAGCAATGACACAAAAAAAGTATAGATTTTCAGAGTGCTTTTTTGTAAGTTTTCAGCTGGAACTTTTAACTCTTATAGCACCTACATCTTGCTGAAACAATATATAGCATGGACTAAAAATATCTTTATTGTCTTTTATGCTGTCCTAAACTCTCATTTTACCTCAGTTTAAAATCTGCTGGCAGACTAATTTGCTTACCTTTAAGCTACTTGCTTCATCCCTACCTAAATATATGCATATAGGAAATGCCATATTGAATTAGATTCATAGTCAAGTTCAGTTGTCTCTTATGGTAAATGTGACCAGAATGTTTTGTCAGAGTATGGCTGCCATCTCTCTTTTTTTTTTTTTATCCTACTAAATGATTTCTACTGATGTTCCTTGATCAATTAATTTCTTTCTCAGCCCTACCATCCAAGCTTAAACTATCTCATAGTTCTGTAAATTTATAACCATAATTATACTATTACTTTCCCTAAAACCACCTCTTCCAACTTCAAGAAGTACTCTAATGGATTTAGTGAATATATCCACCCAGCACATGACCTTCATGATTTATTCCCACTATTTCCAGACTGAAATCCTAAGTTTTAAAAATGTGCTTGTCTTGAAAAGTAATCATAATCATACACATACTAAAAACCCTCAAACCATTTCTATAACAGTTCATTAAATATAACTATGCCCCTATCTTCAAAGGTAACCATTTTTAAGTTCCTTGTGGCTACTTCCAGATATATTCTAAATATGGAATTTAAATATATTGTTTTAGACTCATTTTTTCCCAGTCCCTCTTAAAACCATACTAAAATGACAGAATAGGGATTTTTTTAAAAAGAAAAGTATACCTTTTCCAAGGACAAGAAAATGAGAAGAGAGTATAGGGACATTTTTAAATCTCAGAAAGAGATGGTAATAAACTTACAAATTATAGAGAATTTGAATACCTTGGAAGTGGCAGATTCATACTGCAGAGCTGCTGAAAGGCTTAAGAAGAAAGAATCCAGGTACCTCTGAAGGTTGTACTATAAACAGGATTGATTGATTGAAACTCTCTGTTTAGGAAGCATTTAGATTTTAGGTTTCTCTCTGCCTCTTCCTCCTTCCCCTCCCACACACATCAGCAGAAAACCCTTCAGGGGTCAAAGCAGAGGTATTCTATGCACAGGGAGACCAGAGAAACTGAAGTTGGCGGTAACACACTGAAGAAAGGGGATGAAAGATATCTTTTCTATACTCAGCTCTGAACAAAATGGCAGCCAAGCTTTGAACTACTGGGAAGGAGAAATCAGACCAACCAAAGAGACCTATAAAGACTTATTGATAGTCAAGGTTCCTCATGAAATGGCCCAGCCAGAACAGCGCAGAGTAAAACCCATCAGTCAAAAGCTCATCCCATGCACACAGAGCTCCCAGTTTGTTTTTAAATAAGAACATACAGCAAAGGATTGACAGATATTTGAGAAAAACCTCTAATATGAGAGACCCAAAACAAATAGAAAATAAAAGGAATGAAGCAATGAAGGGCACAGAATGAAACTTCAAAGAAACTGAAATTAAATAATCAGAGAAAATAAAAAACACTAGATACATGAAACAAGACTAAGAAATGCTAAAAAAGGAAAACGCACCAAAAAATTTTTAAAAATATGATGAAATAAAAAAACTCAGAATGGATATGAGACAAAGTGAGGAAATCTTTAAAAGGTACAATAAAAAGAAAAAGAGATGAAGGAAAAATTATAGACTGAGTATAGGAGATTTAATATCTGAATGACAGAAATTCCAGAAAAAAAAAAACTGAACAGAGAAAACAGAGGAGAAGTTCTCAAAGAAACAGTTGCAGGGTTTTTTTTCTCCTCATCACTGAATACCGTGAGTTTTTCGGTTGAAAAGACCCTTCTCAAGATAATCAATTTGAAAATTTAGAATAGCAGGGACAAAGAGAAGATTCTACTAACTTCCAGAGAGAAAAAAACCAAACCAAAACAAAAAGGTGAGGAATAAGAATGGCATCTGATTTCTTTAGAGTGACGCTGGAAGCTGGAAGCCAATGGGGCAATGCTCTCGAAATTCTGAAAGCTGTGCCATTCTGGATTTCTATCCCTGGACAAACTGTTACCCAAGCAGGAGGGTAGAATACAGGCATTTTTAGTCATACAAGATCTCAAAAATTTATTTATCATGTGACCTTTCTCAGGAAATATAGAAGATTGTGATCTACTCCAAAAAATAACAAGATAAGAAATAGGATGACCTAGGAGCTACAGAGGTTAAATACAATCTTCAAGAAATAGAGAAGGGAGATCCTGGAATGACAGTTCTGTGCCAGGCCTAGAGAACAATCACTCTAGATGAGACCGTAAGATGGAGAGCTCCAGCAGGCATTTGTGAAATTATAAAACTCACATATTTCCTTGTGTGTTCAAATATATTAACAATATACATATAGTTCTGGAGAGAAGTCTGGGATACATCATTATAATAGGTAAATGAGAGTTACACAAAAAATTAAGCTGGCTGAAAAGGAGAAAATTATTAACTCTAGGGAAAGTAAGCAAATGTATAAAGAAAGAAATATAATAATTGTTGATGATATAATTGATTCAACTAAAGTTATGCTCTAACTGTACTGAAAGGAGGGGGAGGGGGAAACGTGGGTTTGTGTTTCCTGGAGAGGGACTTATAAGAAAGCCAAATCCTTATCTTCCACTGTAGGAGGGCAACAGTTAATAATGCAAGCATGAAATCAATAAAAAATATTGGTATAAACATATTAGCATGAAATATGAAGGTGGATACCAAAAGAAACTGATAAAAGACTTGAAAGTGATTGCCTCTGAGAAGCAGGAAAGGGAGTGGATAGAAGCAGGGATGGTGTTTTTTAAAGACTTTAGAGCTCTTTGACTTTTAAAAATACATATGTGCATAAAAATATATATGTGCATAAATATATATGTGCATAAATATATATGTGCAAAACTTTAATAAAATTAAAATATAATTCTATGCAATGAAAGTGTGCTTTGAACACAAACAGTAGGACAGCACACATTCTTTCATACCTGACTGTGCTCCTATAGACATATCTTGCAGATCATGTCACAGAAACATCATAACTATATCTCCTACTTTTTCACACTTACATACTATTCCATCGAATACATATACTTATTGACATGAAAATTTACGAACATATGTATTGGCATAATCCCAGTACAATTCTAGGTTAAAATTTTTAGATATTTCTACATTGCCCTCCAAAGATGTCACACCCAAACTTACAGTCTCACCAGCAACATATAGGAATTCTAATTACTTCACAGACTCATCAGGACTACACACTACAAAACTATTCTGTCTTTTATATCTAGAAGGTGGAAGGACTTATTGTCACTTTGATTTAATATGTACTTCTTTAAATTTATTTTTACAAAAATTGTCTACCCAGTCCCAATTTAAAAAAAAAGGTATCCTTATTGAGATCCCTTCTCCATTCTTTTATTTTATCTATTCTATTTCTCATTAGCACACCTCCCTTTCTTCTTTCACAACGTTGGACAAAATTTATCTTTTCCAGAAAACTTTCTCTTAAGCACTCTGTACTTACTTGTATGCATATAGCACAGTTACAGGTATATTCCTCAGTTTTCAAGATGTGTTCCAAAAATGCTGATTATAATAAAGAATTATAAACACATTATTTCACAGTATTTAAGATGAAACATTGCAAGATGTACCATTATTTCACGAGCTACTAAGAAAGTAAAAATACTATCAAATAAAAAAAGCACAATGGTTTCTTAACACTTAGAATTTTTATTAGACTTACTGAACATTATACAATTCATATTTTTACACCCTTTGGAAGTAAAAGCACTATGCTTTTAACATGTGTTAATTTACTCTATGGCTATAAGAAGTAGGATAATGACTAGTGTATTTTGAAAACTGATAGATTTCTAGGTTTTGTCTTAGGAAGACAATACTTACAAAACACCAACATTTGTAAAACAGGGGCTGCTATAGTTTTGGTCTAATTATTTTAAACAAAACTAATACTCCATTAAGTCACATGTAAACTTTCTGAAACACTTTCTAGTACCAATGACCACAGTTCTATAATGTAGAAATTCCTATGATGCACTTTGAGAGGCAGCATTATGGCTCTGTGTGATTTACTTACTTATAAAGGTGTTGATGAGATAAATTTCATTGGCATGTATTGCCACAGAAGAGAGTAGAAGATCAATAGAAGTTTGGTAACCCATAAAGATTTCCAAAGTTTGGAGGTAACATTTCAGAAGGACATTATTAGTCCACAGACATACATAAAAGCAAAGTACAATGTTTCCTGATTAATGGGCAGGTATTTATTTTAAGATAATATAAGAATGTAAGACAGGTTGCTTTATAATTATAAGAAAAATAAATTGAAATTTAAGTTTAATAAATTTCTTATTATGAAGTGATTCTGAGAAGTACTATAAACTGTTTAGCTTTCCAAAGAATAGTTTGTGGAAAGAAATACTGAAAATAACAGCATACATGTATTAATAGTTAGGACATTATTATTTTCAAAGCATTTAAAAAATTTTAAATTGATGCAAATAACAATCTAGTGAGCTATTTTTACCTCTCATTTTATATATGATAAAATTCCAGAGTGATAATATGAAGGGACTCACTGTAATTTACTACTTTCCTTTACACTTTAATTGATCAGAATATTTTATACCCATTTTAACATTATGCGGCAACCTTTCAAACAGATATTCACCCATTCACTCTGATAAGCAGTAAAGAATAAAGACTGTGTATGTAGTATACTATTTTTTCTTGGGAGAATAACAGAATTGTAAAGGATTTTAATGGGCTAATTTAATTTTTAATCTATATTTATAGGATTTTCCATGTATGTAAGATAATATAACTTACAGTCAAGGATTAAAGAAAATTACATTTTTTCAATTATTTTAGATACCAAATAATGTTGAGAACCTTCAGTATAAGATAAAGTAGACCTGGGATTACTTCTCTAGGAAGTTCACAGTGTAAAAAAAAGACCCGGGCATGTTAAATGAGTGGGAAGGCATTTTCATTTAGTCATTTGAGTCAACCTTCAAAGCAGGTGAAATTAAATTATTATACAAGATGGGATCCTTAAATTTATGAATTATATATTTCTAATTAGTGTAATAAATAATATCAGATAAAGAATGTAGAAAGTCTAACAAATACAAAATCAATGCTAATAATATTTTCTCGGAAATAATAATACTTTTATAAATAAGTTGATGCAGATCAATTTCACATATAATAACTTACAAAAACAAAATCAGTGTTTCCTATTTTCATATGCAAAAGCAAGGTACTAGTTGGAGTGTATATAACTTATATTAAATATGTCTTAGAAAGGAAGATAAATGAGCTTATCTTCCACATGCGATATATAAATTTATTAATTTAAGTTCATTATTCTATTTTGGTATAGTATCCTTGTATAAAGTAAATGTTCTGAATTGAATAGATTTCTATTAAGTACTATTAAATTATTTCTCCATGTGAAAATCTAATTTCATTGTGATTCAATAGAAAGTTTTTATTTTCCTTTTTAAGACATATTATTTTGAAATAATAAATTATATTTAAATGATTCATTATTACTGGCTGTTTGGCATCACTTTTGCATGTGGTCCTTTTGAAAAAAAACAAAATATTAGCTTCTACCTAATATATACATCAGTCTTCTAAACCATTTTATATTAGTCTCTTACAACACCCACTTTGATGTTACATACATACATTGACAATATGCAACAGGCTCTAAGATAGTATTTTTACTAGTGTTATTAACATATACTACCTGCAATCAGGAGCAGCATTATGTTTTAGAAGATAGTGACAAGGACAGTGATTACTGTTATGACAACTATCACTGCCATGACTGTTTTTGGGGGTAAAAAAAAATCTACATTTTAAATTACTGCATACATAAAAGAATACTAGACATTCTGTTGACTTTGGTAAATGAACAAAAATTTTAAAAAACTTTTTATGCAAGTCAAGCAACATATGTTAGTACTTTTAAAAGTTAAAAGTACAATGTAAACCATTACATTATACAGTAGCTTCATTTAGTTTTCCAGAATTATTTCAATGTAATTAAAAATCTGATAAATAACAGATTTGTTAACAATGCTAAGGGTCCTAAGAGAAATCCTAAGCAATATTCATTCTCTGAAAATAAGTTCACAGTCCCAAAACAAAGAAAATGTGATGTTCATTTTTAGGTGATCTATATTCCACGAGTCATAAATTATTTTGAAATGAGGCAAATTACTAATAAATAAATAAAAAATATTTTACATACATTCTTATGTAGTCATTGGAAGTATATATATACTTCTGAAGGGAATGAAAAAGTGCAGAAAGTTCAGTAAATCAAGGCAAAAGCTCAACTTGAGTATATATAACATTTGTAGTAAGAAGATGCATTTTATCTGTTTTATGTTTAAGAATTCGGTTCAAGAAAAAATATAAATTTCACAGCATTCCACCTTTTCCTTCATTTTCTACTTGTTCTGATCTCAGACCTGCTTCCTCTCTCTGAAATTTCTGCTTCTTGCATTTGTCACATAAATAGTAATCCTTTAAACTTTGCTTTACGAGTATCTAATTAAAAAAAAACAATAATACAAAAGCAGTATTTAGGATATAATTCAGAGGTGATGGCATTAATCAAATATTCTTATAATAATATGAAACAGTAAGGAATCCAATAAAAATACCCCCCATAAAATATAGGAAACACTTAAATTAATCAGAAAACATTTACACTATTTAAAAGGTCAGTGTTTTATTTAGTAACTTTTCTAATCTCAGTCTAGAAAAAGGTAGTCATTTCTAGCTATGACTCTATGCATTACTACTTAGAATCAATAGTGTCAGTGGTTGGGAACACTACTTATGTGGACATATAAGTGGATGGTTCTACTTTTTTTTTAATGTTTAGTTTAAGTTCTCATAGGGTAGTATAAAGTCCTTAAAATAGAGATTAGGAAAACCTGACTTCTTCTGTTAGCTCAATCACAACAGTTACCCCCTTAAACAAACAGATAAGCCTACTTGTTTCTAAATATTTTAGACGAATACTTCCCAAAGTAGGTTCCATAAAACACTAGATCTCAAAGCTATTTTGCACAATGCTGAATACTGCATTGTGCAAATAGTAGCATATTAAGATCTGATAAATTCTACAGGAAAGAACTTATTTAAACATTTTTACTATGATATTTCCCAACCTTGAGAGGATTTGCCTAAGCAGATCCTTTTTTTATTTTTTAGAAAAACATGCATTGACATCCTGAGGAACCACTTTGGGAAGCACTGCTATAGCTATATATATGTGTCAAACTTGAGAGAAACAGCAAGAAATATATATGTGAATGAATATACTTGCAAGCATTTATAAACAACAAAACCTCCATTGCAGAAGCCTAACTAATCAATACCCACAAATGACCAAAATTTTATAGCTACAGTTGACTTTTGAAAGAAAAAAGGAAAAACAAACTCCTTATTTTGGAGATTAGCAACAAGTTTGAGATATTTCTTTTGGTCACCCCTTTCTCTATAACCTTGACCACAAATGAAACAGATCTGGACTTTCCTCAACTACTGCATTCTATGGTGACAGTGTAGTAAATAATAAACAAGATGGTTCATCATCAGACAGAATAAAGTTCAAATCTTGGTTTGCCACTTCCTAGCAAGTTATCTTAGGCAAGTTACTTGCTAACCTTTGATTTTCTCTGCTCTTAAATGGGTATCTGTGAGAATTAAAGGAGACACTATATATGTGGAAGAACACTTAGTATAGTGCCAGATAAATAAGTAAAAAAATTAGCTGCTATTTTTGTAGCAGATGCTCAGAATCATGATCCTAAAAAATAGTAACAAATATTCCTTTGGTGCTAATGATCTTTGATTACAAAAGTCCAATTTGGACTCAATATATCGTATCTGCTTCTGTACAAAACAGCAGGTTTAACAAAATTTTTTCAATCAACATACTCTTATGGCCTAAAAAATAAAACTAAATTAGAAATTACAATTCTATTCCTTTCAGCTGCTTTTAAAATTTTATAACAGAATAAAGAAATCACGATCCTTTCTTTATTGGCATTAAACAAATTTAGACAAACATAAGCTAACATACTTATCTGCTATGGAGTTCTTTCTTCAGGCATGATTTGAAAGTTGGATACTTCTGGACTGTTTTATAACCCTGTGGAACAGAGAATCAAGCATAACGATGTACAGAAAGACAAATACAGTGTGATTTCACTTATATGTGGAATTTAAAAAGTCAAACTTAAAGAAGTAGGGAGTAGAATGGTGGTCACCAGAGGCTAGGGGTGTGTGTGGGAGGAAAGAATGGGGAAAAGTTAGCCAAAAGATACAAAGTTCTAGTTTCTACACTATGAATAATTTTTTAAGATCTACCACACAGCAAGGTGACCATAATTAATAACCATGCATTGCATATTTCAAAATTGCTTTAAGAAAGCAGATTTAAAATGTTCTCACTATATCAAAATATATGAGGTGATGTACAGGTTAATTAGCTTGATATAATCATTCCACAATGTATACCTATATCAAAACATTACATTGTACCCTATAAATATATACAATTATTTTTTTGTCAATTAAAAATAAAAATAATGTGCTGTTAAAATGTTATGGGGGCCACAGGTATGTAAATAAATAAATAAAAATAGAACACATAACATCTAAGAGAAAAATACAGTTTTCAGATGTTTGGCATAGTTTATATTTAATTTGATCTTATTACTCTAAAATTTTTCAGGAAAATTAAATGATTTTCAATGTATATGCTTTCAAATATTTATGGTATCATCTAAAGTGTTAGCAACTAACCACTAGGTGGCAGTTAAGTACATAGCATCTTCACCTAGGCAGCTCGGATTTAAACGTATTAAAATTTTTAAAAAACATTGTCTAATATGAATTTTGATTTTTTGCACATATAGCTTTTTCTCTTTTAAAATGTATAATACTTAGGGATATTCTTGCCAAATATGGGAGACTGAATATTCTAGCTGTTAATTTTAATAGAAAAACATTTTTTCTTTTTCCATTTGTGGCACATCTACAAATATATTAGATGTGTAAACATTTATTGATTCATACTATATTTCAATCTTTAAAACATGTTTCTTGGAAAGAATCATTGAACTTCTAGTAATGACCTTTCAGTATAAAAAGGCAACAGAAAAAACAGTTTGTGACACACAAAATAATTTTTTTAACTTATTTTTCCATATAAAAAAAGTAATGAACACACAGTGACTTAGAAGCCTCGAGTTGCCAAAAGGAAATGTGTGTCTTATAAAATGAGAAACAGTGATATTTCTTTGCATACTGCCAGGTCTGAAAAGCCAATGTGCAGAATGAATTTTTCAAAAATATTTGGCAATATTTTTCCCCCACAAACTGGGATAGAGACATTAACTGAATATGAAAATAAATTATTAAAAGTCAAACTGATTTTATATTTTTAAAAAAGTATTCTCTTTTATTACCTCAAGTTGTTTCTGAAATTAGATAAATCCTATGTTTTTCTTTTCAAATAAAGTATTTAAATTTAATTTTTATATCCTTAAAATTTATATAAATTGTTTCTAAACTTACATGGGTTTTTTTTCCCCTCAGATTTTAAAAAGGATATCAATATACTTAAAATTTGTAGTTTACCCGGAATCCTCTATGGAGTCTGTCTTTCATAATTCCAATAAATTCTTTATAACTTAATTGATCATCTTTGTCAACATCAAAAATCTTGAAGACAGTGTTCACCAAATGTGGTGAAAGTTTGAGTCCAGTAGCTACATAGACGGCACGTTTAAATTCATCTAGATGATGTCATATAAAAAGAAAAATAGTCTGTTAACATTTTTATAATATATGTTCATTATTAGAAAAGTTGGAAAAAAAAGTTGTTTTTTAAAAATAGATCATGACCTTATGCAACATGTCTTTTCATTAATCATGCTGTGTTTTAGGGAATAATTTTTGTGGCTGTAATGAAAAGAGACAGGAAACAGCTGTATCTTAGGTTAATCATGCACTCATAACCATGAATATTTAATGAGTACCTGTGATCAGGGATAGACACTTTAGAAGTTATTAAGATAAATTGTCAAGAAACTTAGAATTCAGATGGGAGATGAGACACCTGCCCAAGTAGTCATTACACAGGGCCACAGAAAAAGTACCAACAAGGTGTTATGAGAATTTGGAGATGAGTGAGAACTTCCGTCTGGTGTATGGAGCAGGAAGAAGAGAGAAGAGCAGAGATTAGGAAAGGCTGTGTGTGATTTTGTATTTGGGCTGAGCCCTGAAGGATAGGTGGTTTCAGCTTGTAGAGAAGAGAAATGGCAGATGAGATGACATGAATGAACCAAGGCAGTGGGGACACAGGGGAGCATAAAGCACATTCAGAAAACTATGAGGAGTCTGGTTTGGGCAGAGCCAGGGGACAGACAGGATCTGTAGGAAGCTCGGCATAGGGACTGTGAAGTGAGGAACCTGTACATTCTTCAATGGGCAATTGGAAAACTTAATAGTTTTTCCGGAGAAGGTGTGTTGTAGGAAGGTTAATTTGTGTTTTAGGAAGATTATTCTGTGAGCTGCAGGTGAGGAAAGTAGCAGCACCAGGAATGCCACTTTGGTTGCCACTACAATAGTCCTTCTAAAAGGTAGTAACTTGAATAAAGATGCTAGTAGTGACAAAAAAAGAAAAAGAAAGGGAGGGATATATTCCTAGCACCTGCAAGACAAGTGACACAATTAGTTTTGTTTTTTTTTTTCATTTCCCAGTTTCACAAAGTAAAAGAGCAACTTTCCAGCCTGAACCAAGTGAGCAGATATTGATTTTTTTTTTAATGTTGATTAGGTTTATCGTGATAATACAGGCTGGTCTGTAAAGGCAAGGCTCCCAAAAGTTTTGATTTTAAAACACTAAAATAGGTTGAGAAGGTGCCATATTTGAATGTCTAGACTACAGAAGGGGTAAAATATGAAATTTTTTCAGGTTTCTCTTAATGAATAAATGAATGAGGCCATATAATAGAGTCAATACCTGTGTCTTTGGGAGAGAGATAATTGTCATCAGCACTTAGGGGCTGCAGCTTGGCTTCTCCCTAGAACTTCGTAATAAAAAAACTAAGACTGTCCTCAGATTTAAGCTTGGGATTATAGCAGAGACAAGCAATCACCTTAAAGACATAAAGTCCCCCATATGGCAAGAATTTTTATAAAGAGATATGGACATGAGGGAAGGGAGGATGATCATAGCCAGAGAATCCTTGACAAGTACCTGGCCTGTTAGTCCACTTATAGGGAAAGGAGCTGGTTCTGAGGACAAGGGCATTCTGAACTCTATGACAGCTGTATTTCTTTGTAAATTAAGCAAAATTGATATTCAGTTTTTATTACATCATTTTCAAAAACCAGTCAATGTAAATCTATGGCTAAGAGGTGGCTCTGCTGACAAAATTCTGGTTTCTGAGTTGGCAGGCATGAAATCAGTAAAATAAATACCATCCCATGGGAATGTATGGAGTACGGCCAACTGGTTCTTCTGCAGGTGAACACATGTCCCCTAGTGATACCAAGTGGCCATGAGGTTTCTTCTTTTAACTTTTACAAACATCATTAGCTTCTCCCCATGATATCAAATTAAAAGCAAAAGTATGTTCAGTATGAAAATTTAGCACATTTCCCTAAACTTTGCTTAGTTTTCTTTTAGGTGTCAGAACTCATTTCTCACTGAAAGTATACACCAGACTTGCAGGCAAGTTGGGTGATATGATACAAAATATTTAATTAAATTATTGCCCAAATCTCTAGAAACAATATAGGATTATTTTTTGCTTTTGTTTTTGTTTTTTTTTGTTTTTTGTTTTTGAGTTAGGTCTTGCTCTGTTGTCCAGACTAGAGTGTAGTGATGCCATCATAGCTCACTGCAACCTCAAAATCCTGAGCTCAAGTGATCCACCTGCCTCAGACTCCTGAGTAGCTGGGACTATGGGCACATGCCACCACACCTGGCTAATTTTTCTATTTTTCATAGACACATGGGCCTTGCTATCTTGCTCAGTCTTGTCTCAAACTCTGAGCCCCAAGCAATTCTCCTGCCTCAGCCTCCCAAAGTGCTAGGATTACAGGCATGTCACCACACCCAGTCTAGTTTTTGAAAGATGATTACTTACCTTGCCCTATAGAACGACTTGCAAAGTTATACATATTCAGGGCTATTGCAAAGTCTTCTAGGTTGTTAAGAAACTGAAAAAATGACCTGAATTCATCAAATGTGATGCCCTATATTGGGAAAATAAATATAAATATATTTAGCATTACTAAATTTATTAAAATAATTATTTACACTTAAGTAAAATAAACAGGTTAAGCATCTGCAATATATCTTAAAAGTAAACATTTCCAGGGTACACTGTGAAACCTTTCTCCAAATGGAATGTAAAATTAACTCAGACTTATTTCTACTGGGTAGTGTTGTTACCATTACAATAATGAGTGAAAATATTTTTTAAACACTGTCATATTAGAACAAAGTTCCAAAAAATGAAAAGTTTCAATTTTGAAAACCCTCTATTTTAGGCCTGAATTTTTTTAAACCCTGAAAGTAAATATGATAAAAAACTAGAGGAAGTTATTAAAAAGTTTCCCTTGCACATGTACTCCTATGATTCAGCATTAGATCATCGATGTCTTTATAATGACAATGCAAACTCAGAATGTTGACTCAGTGTCAACCTAGCATATATGTGCTTGTTCCTGTCATGATAAACACTGCGAGGACAGCAGGAGGAAGTGCAATGACGAAAGATACAGCTCCAGGAGACCTAGCTCAGGGCTTATGTGAGATCATGTAAAAGTTGCAGTCCCCAACCCTCAGGCCATGGACTGGTACTGGTCTCTGGCATGTTAGGAACTGGGGTGCAGAGCAGGAGGTGAGTGGCAGGTGAGCAAGCGAAGCTTCATCTGTATTTACATCCACTCCCCACTGCTTGCAGCAGCACATAAGCCCCACCTCTTGTCAGACAAGTAGTGGCCTTAGATTCTCATGGGAGCATGAACCCTACTACAAACTGCGCATGTGAGGGATCTAGGTAGCACGTTCACGTGAGAATCTAATGCCCAATGATGTGAGGTGGAACTAAGGCGGTGATGCTAGCGCTGGGCAGTGGCTGCAAATACAGATTATCATTAGCAGAGAGGTTTGACTGCACTATAAATGTAACACACTTGAATCATCCCCAAACCATTCCCACCTCAGCGTTTGGAAAAATTTACTTCCATGAAACTGGTCCCCTGGTGACAAAAGGGTTGGGGACTGCTGATGTAAAGAACTGGTGATCAGAACTGCTTCTTCTGGAATGTCATATGTATAAAGTGGAATTACTGCCCTTGCTGTTACTTCAGTTAAACAGTTATTTAAAATCAGAACAATGTATCTCAGAGGATACAAATTTGAACATGAGGAGCTGCATTTAATTAATGTGTTCTCCTCAACAAAATTAACATAATTGAGAAAGTACACAGAGAAAAGAGCAGAAGGCCAAGGGCTTAGGTTTAACAAATTCTGGCTTTAAGATGGGGGTAAAAGAGGAAGGAACACTAGCAAGGCAGTGTTGCAAACCTAGGGAGGGAACCACGAAAGTCTATTTTCATATAAGCCAGTACTGATTAAATGATTTAGTACCAAAAGACCCAATCTTTGGTATACATTATTTCTACTTCAATTACAACTCTTCTGTTACTCTCAACATGAGAATCCTATTGTCTTTTCACATTTTTCACTTCCCCTTTCTTTATATTTCTTTATGGTCTCTCCAATCCTGGATCCTGTTTTGTGACCTGATCACACCTGCCATGTTTTCTAGAGATGGCTATTGAATAGGTAGGGAGACTGCACCAGAAGGGGTAGGCCTTGATGTGGAGAGGAAACATTGTTGCCAAGGAAACGGGTCACAGCTATGGGTCTGTACCAGTCCATGCTGCCATAGCAACAGACTCTGTCTCAGGGCAATAGGTTATTGTTGGTAAAAGTAAAAAACAAGAGGATGAGATATTTTTAAGCAAAGGGTAAAAAAAAAAAATACAAAAAACCAATGTTTTGGGGAAGCATGAAATTAAGAAACAAATTTTAAAAATAACAATACCGTGTTCAAAATACGAACTTTTAGATTTAGAAAATGGCTTCTAAGAATAACCACGTAATGCAAATATTAACAAGGAAGTAGTATAATTATCAAATTTAACTTGTTCCTAATAAATCTCATTCCCTTCTTATCCCAAATTCATGGTCTTACTTAGCTCAGTAAAGGGCATCATTGAGTTACCTTCTGGTTCGGGCCAAAGCCCCAGGAGTTCTTGATTCTTCTTTTTCTTCACATTAAAATATAATCCATGAACAGGTTCTATCAGCTCTATTAAATTATCCAATATCTGGCCTCTTTTCTCTACTTTTTCCCTGGTCCAAGCCATACTTATCTCTCACCTAGACTCCTACAATAGCATCTTATATTGTCCTTTTCTTTCAAAGTTGGGCTAACTAAAAGTCTATTCTGTTATGTAGCAGCTGAGATGATGATCTTTTGTAACATGAATCAGAGTATAGGCTGCATCTGAGTGTCCTAGTAGACAGTCAGCACTTACTGAATGAATGAACATCATGCCTATGCTCGAAAGCAAGGTTGGCACCCTTTTTCTGTAAAAGCCCAGAGAGTAAATATTTTCATTTTTGCTCACTCGCTATCTGGTCTCTGTTGCAGTTTTTCTACTGTACCATTATGGTGCAAAAGCAGCTGCATCCAGTACTTTAAGTGAATGAGTATGGCTGTGCTCCAACAAAACTATTTACAGAAATAGGAAGTGGTGTGGTTTGTTGGCCACTGCTTTAAAGTTTAAATGCTACAGTGGCTTCCCATCACTCCTAGAGGCTTTGTTAGAATAAAATCTAAACTCCTTGCTCTGGTCTACAGGGTCCTAAAAGACCTGGCCCTATCTGTCTCTTTTTCCTCATCTCCTCCTACTTTCCTATTCACTTACTGTGTCTTTTGTTGTTTGCTTACATAAAGAAATGTAAAGTGCTATTCAAATGATAGTAGTTGTTATCATTTTGGAGAGAAGGAGATGAGAGGTGGAAGAAGGGAAAGGCCCAAGTAGGGTGTGGAAGGAAGATCACTGGCTTAGAAAGTCTTGGGTTTGAATCTTTGGACAGTGTTTAAGTACCTGAAGTCCTTAGCTTCTCCTATTCCAAAAGATGTCAAACCTGGAAGGTTGTTCTGAGGATTGATGAGGTAATGTAGAAAGAAATCAGTAAGAATCAATCAATGCTAGTTCACTGTAAAATTTTCCTTTTCTACCTTAATGATTTGTAGTACTTCAAATATTTCAATCAGAAGTTTCAGAAGCTGAATTTAACTCTGAAAAAGTTTTATTTTGAAATAATCTTAGGTGCAAAAAAACAGTTGCAAAAACACTTCAAAAAGTTCCCATAAATTCTTCACCCTGCAATTTAACCTTTTGAATTACACATTTTGATAAGTTTACATTTAATAAAAGAAAAAAAATACATAGATTCAAGATCCTAAATAATACTCTAGTGGCTTGATAAAGTAATAAAATTTCCAATATTTATTTTTTAGGGAAGTATCTATGAATTAGAAAAATTCAGTTTAACATGCAAAACAGATAAAAGGACTCTGATTAAGGGAGAATGTAAACTAATGGCCAAATGCATGGAGTCCTTTTTTTCTCATTCCTTAGCAGACACGTAGAATTGTTAACATTGTCACAGTGTATCCATTCTAAGCAGAGTCAAACTATTTGCAGGTTTTTCTTGGATAGATTAACCTGATCCTTCTATAAACACAAATAGAAGGCTAAATATCCAAAACATCCCATGCTTGAAGGAGTACTTGTAACACCAGTTCTATTTGGTTGCAATGATGCATTCAAATACCAACAGATAATGCAACTGCTCAGAAGCGCTGACAACGCATTTGTTACTAAACAAATAGACAGTCAGTTGTCCCAGGTTCTTAACTATTCATGCCATCCAAACTCTTTGAAAAACCTCACTTTAACTGATGATAAGATCACTCACTCATCAATGGCAGTCTTCAAATGACCTTTTATTAAGGGTGTTATAGAAAGGAACAGAGTGTGACAGAAATGATGTAAATATAAACTGTTTTTTATGAGGCGATGTTTAGGTAGTAGTCAAAGCATATAGTTCAGTGGAATTCTCTTGAAAAATGATATTCTTAATTTGAATAAAACAACTGCTAATAGCCTTAAACGTTTTCAGCATAAGTTAAGAAAAATACAGCTCTCCACCCAGAATTTAAAATTAATTTTTAAAAATTTAGCCAGAACACTTAGAACACAGAGGAAAAAGAATAAAATATATACAAGATCTCTTTTAACTCACAGAGAAGCAAAAGAACTAACAGAAGGGCAATGTGTTTTATAAACATATAATTACAAGCTATTAATAATAACATGTAACAAAATAAATATAAGGGATAGATACCTTTTCTTCAGATATACTGTAACGCACATTTTCCAAAAATACTGATGTATTTTCCACATTTGTATATCGTAAAAGAATATGAGCAAAATCTTCTTCACTGATAGTATTCATTCCATTAGAGTAGGAAAGGAATTCTATTTCTAGAACTTCTGTTTGGAGGTTATCCATGAATCTATAACAAAAATATAATAAAGAATGAACAAGACCAATGAAGAGTAATGGCAACAGAAAGTTATCAAATATTTACTGGCATAGAAAGGTCATATGGAAATAATTATATGATGACACAAAGATTCATAAAATCCCTCTCTGTAAATGGGAAAGAAAAGAGAACAAGACATGAGAGGTACTACCACTTACTAACTATAGCACATAGGGAGAGTAATTTAGCCTCTCAGGTCTTTGGTTTCCTCATCTATAAAATGGATATAACAAAAGTACCTTCCAGAGTAGTAGTGATACTTATACTGCTTGTTATTATTATTGTGGCTTTATTGAGACTAAGGAATTGGCAACATATTTTCTTCTGAATATATAGGAGACAACAATCAATCCAGATATCCAGACTTTTTTTTTAAACATCCACAGTAACTTCCTGTTATAATTCTCAATATAAGCACTGGTATATAGGTACTGATGGAAGTGGGTAACTGTTATACAGAATATCTTCGGAAGTAGTAAAGAGGAGCATATCACTGTAAGAGACAATTTCTAAAGACCCTTCTGATTTTAGCATGTTAACAATTTTCAATAAAAATATAAAAATTAAGCTCACTTATAAAAATCTTCAAAGTTGAGCTCAGCTTTTCCTTTCTTTCCAAAAAAGTGTACAAGAAGTGTAGTATCAGTTACTAAACTTGTGATGTCATCAGCACGCTTACAAAAAAAAACATAATTTAAAAGTTAGCTACAGTAAAAGAAACAGTATAGGCATACCCAATATCCCTCAGAGAATTTTTTTATCAACATAAATATCAAGACATAAATACATTAACATTAGAATGAGTTTTACAGGCTATACTATGCAATTACAGTTAAAATGAAGCTCAAATTTTAATAGAACTTTGAAACTGATCTTCAAAAATTGTTAAAGATATTATATTTTAATAAGTTTTCAACCTCAAATTATGCATCTAGGGTTCTATGCTTTAACTTATCTAAAATAGTTGAAATCCTTTAGTAATCATCTAAATATTCTATTTTTATTTAAGTAATTTGGTCTGGATTTTCCTAATCAACCTGATAAATCCATTTTTTATGATGTTCAAAACAGGTAAAATTCTTCAGACATACTGAATACACTATAGACACAAGAACAGCCCTCAGCTTCACAAAATAGCTTCCTTTAACCATGATACTTTCCCTCTATATTGCATAATTATGACACTTCAATGGATACTATATTTTGAAAGAGAAAACTGTAGTAATAATATTACTTTAGAATTTATATCATCTATAATTCTTTTAAACGAAAAGTCTTATATAATTTTTTGAATGGATAAGAAATAAATTCCAGAGGACTTTTCCTTTTCCACTCAACTTGACAAACTAAGTTCCAACAAGTGAACTGTTTGATTACATTCCTTATAAAATATAATGACCTATAAAATCTACCTTTCCTTTAATATAGCTTTACAGGTCTTTCTTTTCCCTCTATCCCTCTCTCCCTTCCTTCCTCAGTTTGCCATTAATTCATACCTACTTTATAAAGTAATACTTTTGTACTCAGATACAAAAATCATAAAATTCAAATGATTGTAACTCTCCTATATATTATCCTAGAAAATGTAAGAAAAATAAGAGTTTAAATAATACTATTATTTTTTATATTTAAGAAAAATACTGATGTCCTTTATTTCCTTTCTCCCTGGACCAAATATTATTATTCTCTTCTATGATTAGTCTGGAGTAATAGAGACCACATCTTTTGATTTCCCCTACAGATGCCCCCCTTTAGTGCATGAAACTGTTTTTCTAAAGTGCATTCTTTGATAATCCATGTCTCTCTTAAAAACTCCAGCATGTAGGGTATCTGTCTATATCAATTGTCTGAAATTGTTGAAATTTGTTAGTAATCATCTAAATATTCTATTTAAGTAATTCAGTTTGGGTTTTCCTAGTCAGTTCCAGCATATAACCTCCTTCTAATTAGTTTGTAAGATCTCTACTATTACTTCTCACTTTACTTTGCTAAGTCCTAACTATTCCATGCCCGAAAAGTTCCCTATAACAACAACCATCTTCTTTGAAGATCTGATAGCGGTTTGATCTGATTGCTAGTGGAAAAATAATAGAGTCAGGTAGCCAAACATCACATACTATCTTTTAAATATATCTTCTTGAACAGCTTCTTATGAAAGTCACGGAATAGTAGTGGTGCCAGCCTTTCAGGGTTCTTTCTGTATGTGAGAGGAGACTAATGCAATTTGAGTAGCTCTCAAAGGCAAATACTTTCCCCAGCAGCTTTAAACTGAAGAGCCAGATTGCTCTAACAGAGAAGACAGGATTTAAAATCACAAGACCTGGGTTTATTGACTGTTTTTGATCTTCAGTCTCCTTATCTGTATGATGTGAATAACCTAACTATAACAACAATTTTTTGTCCTTTTATTTTATCATATTATGGGGGTACAAATATTGTTAGGGTTACATATATTGCCCCTGCCGTGCCAGAACAGCAAGCGTGTCCAACCCCCAGGCGGTGTGCGCCACGCCCATTATGTAAGTATATATCCTTCCCCTCCTTGCCCCTCCCACCTGCCCACCACCTGATAAAAGTTTTTTTTTTAACATTTTAGTTACATTGTATATCTTTGCCTCTCCCTAAGAAGGATATAACAACAATTTTGAGGATAAAGTTAAAGTATGAGTGTCAATAAAGCACACAAATGTTGTTACTGGTAGTTATAATATACAAATAACTTCTGGGAAAAAAGACATCTGATATTAATTATAGATACTCTTTTGTGATTTAGTATACTCTAATCAGTTTATTATCTTCAACAGCTTAAATTAGTAGGGGGAGGAAATATTTCGAGGTTATTTCATGCCCATGAAACATAAGAACAGAAGCCCTAGCCTATCAGCATGAAAAACTGGGGTATCTGTCTGGACTAGAGGAATGGTGCAGGAGGAAAGTGGATAAGAAGGGGGGGTTGATGTTTTTGAAAAAGTTGCTTACTTCACTAATAAGCAGTATTGTGGTGAGCAAATAAATGATGAGTTCAAGAGTCAGATTGCTGGCTTGGAATCCTTACTCTTCTCATTATTTAAGTGACACTGGGGAAGTTAATCTCTCTGAGGATATTATTATCTTCAGGAATAATATTAATAATAGTACCTATCCCAAAGGGTTGTAGTAAGATTAGGTAACACATGTAAATCCCTTAGCACTGTGACTAGCATATTGTAAATGCTCAATAAATGTTACCTATTATTTATTTTTGTAAACTTAATATATTTCAGGAAGTTGAAAAAGGACAAGACATAAAAGATAATAATAAAGATTTTTTACATGGTACACTCTTACTTCTAGTATGCTATTGAAATTACATGTTATATAGATCTGAAAAAAAACCTTAAAGTGAGAGGTTATAGGAACACCAAAAGGCAGTGAACTCAGATAACAAAGTTTTCCTCTAGTGTTGTGATGTCCTTTATCTTAATAAGACACAATACACTAATGTGAGATGGCTTTGTTTTATACAGGTTTGAAATAATGTCCTAATTCAGCCAGTTTTTCTCATGCCCACTGAGCAGAACAGATCTTCCCTTATAGTCTTTTAGCATCAAAATCTTATTAGTTGTATGTTGTACTTATTCAGATAACCCAGATCCACAGAGGCATAAGTAACAGCTTGATATTAGAGAATAAAATTAGAAAATGGAAATGGGAAAAACTTTTCTTCCCATTCAATGAAACACAGTACAGCTCAGTCACTGAAAACTACACCAGTGTCCTTGGTATCCTAACAGTGTTATATAACTTAAATCACCTGAGAGTTGAGACAAAAATAGAGACTTTATCCCTTTGATTCTAGTGTTCATTGTTAAAATAAAATGAATTCAGGTGTTTTCACAACAAAGGGAGAAAAAGCCACAAAAGAACCCATGGGCCATTTACATGAAAGTGTATTATCTTTGTTTTGATTAAAAATTATTTTAAATCTTTTCATCAAACATAAGTTGATAAATCTGCATGACATACAAATATGCCAAGCTATTAAGATAATGAGTTTTAAGATATTCTTTCAACATATTTTTATTGATTACAACGTGACGATAATCTTTAGCTGTATCCAAGGGCTGGAGGAAACCTTCAAACTCTTCATTTTGTTAATGAAGTTTTTGAAAAATCTACTGAAATTTATTATGGATAAGTAGAGTCTAAAGCAAGTAAGAAAAATTTTAAATTTCATCTGTAGAACTCAAAATAGTTTTTATAATTTTAGCACTGACAGATTTTTTCAACAGTTGCATGATATGTTTATCATGTTGTACTATGAATTTATTATGTATGATTTTGGTTAAAAAGTAGTGTCAGCTGTGGCATATTCAAATTTTCCCTATATGGTTTTACAATAATTGAAGACACATGGTTTTACTATAATTGAAAAAAATCCATAATTAGAAATAGCTCTGGAATAGAATGAGATGCTAATATCCAGTTTAACTACAATATTTAAAAAGAATTATTTTATCTCAATAATTGCATATTAAATATATAACAAACAAAAATGCAAATACAAATAGATTTCTAAGCCCTCTTTCTGAATCAATTTGAATCTTCAAATACTAATACTATACACAATGCTATATTATACTGGTATTCATAGTAACCTGTAAGGAATTACAATGAGTTGTAACTAAACTACAGTTAATTCTCACTTATTATTCTAATGTGGGAGGGCAGTAACAGAGATAATCTCCAAGTAATTATTTTATTTTGGAACACAGTATGTTTTGTTTTCTTTTCCTCTTTTTCCTTTCTTCTCTCCATCAGATTTACTTTCATATTTGAGTCAATTCATTCATTAATTTAGGGGCTTGTGATCACGGTGTGGGTTGATTGTGGCCAATGAGGCACTGGTAAACTGGCTCTTCAGGAAAAAAAGGGACTGATTTTTAGTGTTTGCCAATTTATGTGGAATAAATAATACTCCTGTCGTGGCCACTTTCAAGGTACTAAAGGAATGTCATACAATTCTGAGTTGGAAAGAAACATGTGCACAATTAGCTCTGGAAAGCTGGAAAAGACACCCAGCTCTAGCACGTCTCCAATAGAGCCATAAACATTTTCCAAAGATCTTACACAAATCACATTATCTTCTGAGTAAGACAGACCTGACTGGTCTTCTGATATTAAACCTCCCAAGATTCAAATTAAATTCAATATGGAATTAACAGATTTTGTGTACCTGGGAGTATTTCTAGAAGAGGTGGGATTAAAGATAGCTGGAGCTTGGGAGGTGGGCACTGTAGTATGGGAAACATGGGGCAAAATGCTTTATTTATTTGCTTTGGGACTTTAAAATTGAGCAGAAGTGACAAAATTAACTTTTTCAAGTATTTACCATAGTGTAGGGATCCCAATTGAGTAACACTGTATATACAGACAACAGTAGTCACAACTGATTCCAGTTTACTTCTCTAAATACTTTTAGATATAACTATTAAAAGTCAAATTTAAAGTCTAGAAAAAGAAATGAGAAGCCCACTTAAAAAAAAAAGACATAATGAAAAATAAATCTCTTAGTATTTATTGAAAATCCTCTGGTAAGACTGATAACCACCTCTAGTAAATTTCTTAGTGTTAATTATAAAAATTATTAATAGGAAACACAAAATAGTGCTTAATCTACAAGATAGAGCCCATCTTTCAAAACCACAAATCCCTGTTGACAGTGGTATAACAAGAATGGGGTGGTGGAAGTAGTGTGCCCCAAGTGCAGCAATAAAGTGCTGGTCTGTATCAAATTCAAAAACAATAATTAAACAGAAGTAAGGTCAGTTTGCTTTTTATTTTCACCATGTACTGGCAATCTTAATGTCAGTTAAAATATTCTTCCCTTTCTTGACTGACTGTTCCCACCATACCTTCTCACTCCCTCCCCCTTACACTGTCCTTGGGAAGCCACTCACTATCAATACTGGAAATTTAATTATTTAAGGTAACTAAAGAGTGGGCTATATTTTACCAGGTGAAAGAAACATTTCAGCATTTCATGTCACACTGTAAACTTAAAAAATTCAGTGAAACTATAAAATATTATTTTCAAATTTCTGGAAAGTAATCTTCAAGTAAAAAATAACACCATTTCCTTTTAATTAAGTTGGAAAGTTATGTTTTACACAACAAGCAAGTTCATTTAGCATAGGCTATTAAAGGTGACTTTGCAGTCCCATCAGTACAGCCTACATATTCAAATACACAGTTTATATATAGTAATTATTGCTGTACTGAAAAAAAAGAGGAAAATATAAACTATATTACTTGCTTTCATCATTGTGACTCTAAAATGAAATGAAGACTAGATTAACAAAGTGGCAAGTAGTACAAGGACCTTGTTGAGGTTTCATTATACCTCTGCGAGGTCTGAAAAGAGTGCTTGGCTCGTGTTACGTCTCACTGTATCCCAATAGCTTCTGGAGACAAGTTCCTCAGCATCTGTTTTAAGTACCTGCAGAAGTTTTAAGAAGCACAACTGAAATCTAAATAACAGTCACTAAGAATGATAATTTAGACACTTTAAATCTCTTCTAAACAAGCTTGAAAAGAAATGAAAACACATTAGCTTACCTTTTTTGTTTTCTGCTGTGCACAACAGTATTATATTACATTGCCGGTAAACCCAATGTACTTTCAAAGGTGTAAAGGTATATAACCACTATTTCTAAGTACAATGTATCTTTGTCAAGAAGAATCAAATTCTCCAACCCCTTCCTCTGCCCTTCTGCTAAAACACACATAACTTCTAAGAAAGCATCAAATAAAATTTTATTCCCACCTGTGTGAAGTAAATTTATTTGGAGTAGATCTTGGTAATTTTGTAGTAACCTATTAAAAATCATGCTTAGTTTAAAAACGAATTATTGGTGGCTATCATACATCGTGATAGTGTATCAAAGAATCAAAATGATCTTATCCATACTTTAAAGAAAAAAAATTTAAATTAATCCAAAACTTGTCAAAAAGAAATATACCCATTTTAGTCAAAGCACCCAAAACTACTTGGGATTTGATAGGTGTGTCAATTGTGTATGAATAAGGTATTTTCTAATCTTTATTGCAAGGATAGAATACTAGCTTTTATGTCAGTATTGGCTAGTCTAAAGGAGATAGCAAGATTATGAGGTGTAGTGTAATCTTCCTAGGAAAATGTCAAACTGCACACCTAATTTGGTTCTCTATAAACAAAAATAGTTAAACAGTTTGTCAAGATTTAGCAGGGAAGACCTCATAGGTTCTCAGGCTTGGTGGTCTTTTAGTTATTGTGAGAAGAAAATGCTACATGATGTACTTAGGAGTGACAGGCTGATAACGAGAGGACTTTTTTTTTTTTGCCTTAAATTTTTGAAAGTCTGGTGCCACTGATAAAATTATAATGCATCTAGGAATTATTTCAAGGATCTAAGTTTTAATTCACTATTATTAACTAGAAAACATTGTCTACTGCCCATATCTTAATAAAATCTTAACAAAGAATTATTTAGCAGGAACCATTTATATAACAGACATAAATATTACCATAATTATAAATGTGGCAACAAGACAGAGAATCTGCTAAGCACTCCCTTTATAATGAAATAAGCTTTAACTAAGCAGTTATAGACTAAATAGGCAAAATTAGCTAAATATAGAAAACAGTTCATTTTCTTTCAAATAGGTATGGAATAACCTCAATGAAAACAAACTAGATTAAATGCTTACTCTGCAAAAATTATCTACATATTGTGAATGTGCATGCATTTTTAAATTACAACTCAGAAGGTTAATACATGATAAAGAAAGGGATTGTTAAACCTACTGAACTAGAAAATGAAGCTTACTGTGCACTATTACTAGGAGAGTAATAGGAATGATTCATTTTGTGAAACCATGCCTCTTTCCTACTACCAAACGCTGGTCACTGTCATGCACATGCATTATAAATATATTTACAACATATTAAGAGATAAAATAAGCTTAACAAACCACATATTTTGTAAACATAGAAAAGAAGTAAATATACTGAGATTTACTAATTATCTCTGAATGGTGAGGTTAAGATATTTTTATTTTCTTCTTTTTGCTTTCCCATATTTTAAAATATTTTGAAAATGTGTATTTATTAAGATAAGATACATTTTGAATTTTTAAAAAATCTTATTAAGAACATAACAGCCTTCCAATTCCCCTCCTGCAGAAAGCTTTCTCACTCATTATTTAGCTCTAGAGATTAACTTACACTACACTATATAAAAGAATTTTTATAACTGGATATATTTGTTTTCTTTTTAACTTATACTGTCTTTGAAATTATAAAGCCGTTGAGGGCAGGAACAATATCCTGACAGCAGTTATTACTACAGGAAAAAATAGCGAATAGATCAGTGATGTGCCTGGCATAAGGCACATCACTGATTGTTATATAGGTGTCTGTTCTGGAGCCAGTATTTAATTTTTTAATCAATAACTTGAATGATGAAATTAAGAGTAAATTTTCAGAACATGCAAACTAGCAGAAAGTTTTAACACCTGAAAAATATAATAGGATATTTAAAATAAGCTTAAAGTAGCCATGGAAATCAGACTAGATTTTAAGAGCAAGAAATGCACAGCAGATACAAAACCAGAATATGTGCATACAGGCCAAAGACAGAAAAGGGAAAATGCCCAAGTGTAACTGAGCATCAAGGTGCTTTTGATACAGATAATTATGATGCTTTGATATGTAAATAGGCAATCAACAAAGACTTCCTGAAGTCTACTCAGTTATCTTTGATTACCATGTGAGCTATAGGCCCCTTTACCAGAGTGACACATTCAGTATAGACCTTCATTAAAAGAGATAAAAGAATATATCGATAGTTCAGAAGAACTTCATAAATGGATGGCAAAGGCAAAATGATGCCTTGAATGTACTGCGCCCTGTAAGTCTGATACATTTTTGCCTAAATGCAGAGTCTGTTATTGATAGAGCTTCATTAAACTTTGCATTTTTGGTCAAAAATTCCCTACGCTTTCTTGGCTGAGCCAAAGCAGGATCCTAGTCAAGGCATTCCATGACATCTATGATTGAAAAGTGAGGAGGAAGGAAAGAAGGAAGGAAGAAAGAAAGGAACAAAGGGAAGAAGAAAATAAAAAAGAAACATTAGTAGAAGGTAGCTCTGCTTTCTTTAACAGGATGCAGCAACCATTGGAGCAGGGTTCCACAGGCCCCAGTCAAAGCCAGCACAAACTGGTTGCTGCTGAAAATTGACTGTTCATAGACCTTTTCCCTCACTTTAATGCTAAAAATTACGCCCAAGGGTAGAGATTTAATATGCTAATGAGACACAGGACCCATGAAGAAGCATATAATAGTACTAAGTCAGGTACAAGAGAATCTCCACCTCCACGTGCATATGGTCACTCTTTTCCTCCCTAAGCCACTTTAAAACTCTCCTTGAACTCCCCTTGGGGAGCAGCCTGAGGATTTTTCCTTTGTGCTATCTCTCTTGTGTTCAAACATAAGCCCCAAAAGCCTTGCCTGGGACTCCTGTTCAGCCTCTAGCTAATTTATATTGCAAAGAGAGAGCCCTATCGTTGGGCTGGTAATTAAAAGAAGGAAGGAGGGAAGAAAAAGGAAGTTAGGAAGAAAGAGATTTAGAGATGGAACTATATCACTATGGTAAACAGAATAATGGCTTCCTGAAGTTGTCCATGTCCAGTCAGACATATACCCTATGTAAAGTTAGGGTCTGAGAAAGGTTATGTTCAGAAATTAGACAAACTAAGGTGGGGGGGGGAGGGGAGTAACAGCCCATAGAAGTAGATCCCACTGCTTGGTATATATCTAAAGGATGAGAATTCAGCATATTGAAAAGATATCTGCACTCCCATGTTTACTGCAGCACTATTTGCAATAGCAAAGATATGGAATCAACTTAAGTGTCCATCGATGGATGAATGGATAAAGAAATGGTGGTAAAACTGCTGGTGTCTTAGTACAAATGAGCCAGTGTCACCAAAGACCAAAGCCATTTCATTCTTCATTAGTTGTTATATTCTTCAATTAAAAGAAAAATTCCACTTAAGAATGTACTTGCTGAAGAAGAATAAAGCTTGTAATTTTGTTAAACTAACCTTTGAGTACACATTATTTTAATATTTGCTATGATAAAATGGGAAGCATACATACAGCACTTCTGCAGCATACTGAAGTACTATGGTTGTCTTGAGAAAGAACATTTGTGTGATAGTTTGTGTTGCAAGCTGAACTAGCCAATTTTTCATGAGCCACCTTTTACTTCAAAGAACTAACAGACAACCTATGGTTATTCAAACTTTGGTATTTGGCAGACATTACTTTTGAAAATGAACCAAGTAAGCCTGTCATTTCAAAGTAAATAACTGACAGTATTTGTTGCCAAAATAACATATTGCAACAGATTGAATGCAAAAACAACTATGAGAAGCCAGCTGTCTTCTATTAAGCCAGACATTAAAGAGATTTGCAAAGAACATAAAACAATACCACTTTCCTCACTACATTTCTGAAAAGTTAGTCGCTCATAAAAATGTTTGTTAACATGGAATGAGTTTTTTATTGTTATTTTAAATAAATTAATATCTTCAAATTCTGTTTTAATTTCTGACTGGTAAATAGATAGATATTGTACACATTAACAGAATCTCTTTTGGCTCCTCAATAACTTTCAACAATGTAAAGGGATCACAAGACCAAAATGTTTGAGAACCACTGCTTACAGCAAAAAAGTGAATGAATTAGTACTACATACAACAATGCAGATGAAATTGATTATCATGATGTTGTGCCAAAAAAGACACATAAATTCATGTAATATGATGCCATTTATATGAAGTGCAAAAATGGGTAAAACTAAACCATATTGTTTAGAATGCATAAGTAAATGGTAAAACCACAAAGCAAAGCAAAGCAAAGAAGTGATTTACATAGCATGACTATGGTTATCTTTTTGGGGACACACATGAAGGGGCTTCTTGTTGAATAGCAGTGTTTTATTTTTTGATATATATGGTAGTTAAACTTTTGTAATTATTTTATTTTACATTTACACTTTATCTGCAGTAAATTTCTGAACTAAAAATGTATTTTAGAAATCAGGGAAAACATCATTGCTATAGGAAAGCATAGAAAATAGAAAAACAAAAAATAGAAAATAACACAAAATATTAAAATAAAGGTGGTATAATTTATCTTGATAACTAAAATAGATTTTAAGGCAAAAAAACATTTTTAGCAATCTAAGGATAGCACATAATAGAAGATTCAATTCACTAAGAAGATATGATCTAGATTCTTATATAGATAATAGGAATGATTCAAAATATCTAAAACAAAAATCAAGAAATTATAAGTAGAAATTAACAAATCTATCCTTATAATGTGTAATTTAACATATCAATGGACAGATCAAGCAGACAAAAACATTAGTAATGACAGAGAAGATTTAAAACACAAAATTAACATGCTTGGTAATGTATACTTGATATATTATAACTCTGTACCCCAAATTGGAGAAAACACATTCTTTTCAAATACAGATCATTTATGAAGACTGACATTGTTTTAGTTCATAAAACAAATCTCAATAAATGTCAAAGAACTGGTATAAAAATTGGTGTATTTTCTGACAGCAATGGTATTAGGGTAATTAAGAATAATCTAGAAAATCCTCTAAGGCATGCCAAAGTCAAATATACTTGACTTCTGTAGTATTTATTTTCTTGACTTTTTTACATTTTCCTTCATCACTCTGCAAAGATGAAATCAAGAGTTGACCATATGAGAAATATGAAAAGAATCAGTGTTATCTGGAACAGAAAAGGCTATAAATTAACAACTGTCTCCATGAATACAGAGTGTGCTCAATCTTACACTGTAGCTGGAAATACTGTGATTAAATATAGGCAGAATCTACCGTAAGAGTGATTAAATTTTAGAACAGGCTACTACAGAGATCACAGAATCCCTACCTCTATAGTAAAAGCCAAGAGGGCCTCTGTCTTTCCTGAAGAAACTTCTTCCTTAAGGTAGAAACTGGTTATTATAAAGCTCAGGTTATATTTAGCTCTGTGATCTGTAATCAAATTAGATACTTGATCACTCCAGTTAATCTACAACTATGATAACTGCCAGTTAATTCAAAACATTATACAAATAGATTTGTATAATATTTACATCAATGATATATCATATACATTTTTAGGCTGATTTTTTTTCCTAATTTTAAATAAATTTTCCTTGCTTGCTTGTAGTTTTTGAAAATAATCATACCTTATTGAGCAAAATTTTTTCTATTATAGGAAATAAAGTTAGTTTATATAACCAACTAAACTTTTAAGAGAGTTGAAAAATCATGTAATCCATTTAGACTCTGGATAAAAGTGACATCAAGTTATACCATTTTAACATATGCATTTTACATTTGAAAAAAAGCTATCTTCAGTAAAATAATAAAAGAAAACTATATGTTACCACAATAAAATGTAAAATCATAAAGTTACTTTCCTATTAAACATGCATAATATAAATGAAATATACAATTTAAGTCTGCTTCTCAAAACTATTCTCTTAATGTGAGTGACTGCAATTTGTATATGTAGTTTAAACTAGAGTCATGTTGCGATCTATTTCCTTTTAACAATGTTACTCTGACATACATTTTTAAAAAAACACATAATCATCCTATATGAAAATTATTTATGAGATTAAAGGAAATAAAAACTGTAACAGTAAAATGGCTCAAACAATGACAACATATTAGATTAGAAAAATAATCAGAAAATCATAAGTATTGACATTTATTAAGTTTCATAGGGCATATAATATTATAATCTGTGAGATTTTCATCTTATACATTCTTACAAATCTTTGAAATGATTAATAGGAATCCTTTAAAAATGTTAAGAAAATGATAGAATTTATTTAATGGAAAACAGTAGTAAATTTTGTAGAAAAAATTTAAAGTAACTTGTAAGAAATTAAAACAATTAGTCAGCTTTTGAGTCGCATGGAATTGGCTTGTTTCCCAACCCATTCTTGGTCCATTCCTTATGACTAGGCAAAATATACTGGGTTTACTTTATGCTGAATCAGCCTCCAGTATATGTTTAGATCTAGAACAGTTATTTTTTATAGTTTGGAATTTTGATTAGCCAATGCAGGAGGCAACAAACACACCTACTTTTAGAATTGTACACTACAACTAGAATACTTTCAACAGTATAATATATAATATATGTGTGTGTGTGTGTGTGTATATATACATATATATATATATGTATGTATGTATGTATTTTTTTTGTTTTGAGATACAGTCTCACTCTGTTGCCTGGGCTAGAGTGCCATGGCATCAGCCTAGCTCACAGCAACCTCAAACTCCTGGGCTCATGCAGTCCTTCTGCCTCAGCCTTTCGAGTAGCTGGGACTACAGGTATGTGCCACCATACCCGGCTAATTTTTTCTATATATTGTTAGTTGTCCAATTAATTTCTTTCTGTTTTTAGTAGAGATGGGGTCTCGCTCTTGCTCAGGCTGGTTTCAAACTCCTGACCTTGAGTGATCCTCCTGCCTCGGCTTCCCAGAGTGCTAGGATTACAGGCGTAAGCCACCACGGCCGGCCTCAACAGGATAATATTAAATCAGTCATCCTGAATTCAAGGGCTTCTCAGGTGGAATTTCTATAATTTGAGAGATCCTTGGGGAAATTAAATGAACTACACATGTTTATCTATTCAAACAGGGCAATGGCCTACTCTCAGTTATTTAGTAGCTGAGCTAGCTAACAAGCTCTGACTTTTCAAGGGAAAAAGAAAGAAGAAAGTTCAGCATAAGAAGAAATGTACATTTGGAAGTTTATCTCTAGGAATTCCCAATTTTTTCAGGACAAGAAGAGTCTGAAAATCATAATCTGGAGAAATAACATGATACACTGATACATTAAACATATAGCAAACAGCAGCTTACATTAGATTTTTGTATAGATCAGAGAAAGTAGGCAGGCAATAACAAAATTTTCCAACCATTTTTGGAAAAAATTTATGAGAAATACTGAAAATTAAGAAAAGTCTATCCATTAACATACATTTTTACTAGAACTGAACAAAGACTGTATATCAGATGAATAAATCTAGTTCTTAAAATACCTGTGTTCTACAGGAGCATATAGCCTGAGAATCTGCTCTGTAATTTATATATAACTTCAAATACTGCCAAAAAAGATAAAATTTTGATTATTCTAGCAGATTTACTGGTGGTTACTGTTCACTCACCTTTTCCTTATTTTAATCTAAAGCAAAAAAATATACAATTGCCCCACATATTTTAGCCTTATTATAAAGCTAGAAATAAAATGTAAAATTTTGGCTTGATTGCACCTATTGTATTAAATAAATTCCAAAACATTCTAAATAGCAGATATAGCTTTATATAAAGAAATAACATTATCAAAGTATAACAGGTGAGGACTATATACATAAAGAACATTTAAAGTATTGTACATACACTATTAGTAGGAGAATGGTATCCATAAAGTTGAAGACGCTGACATAGAGCACAAAGGGCCAAATGAAGTGTCATATTTCAGAATGAACCCAAGTATAGCAAAAGAAAAAAAGAAAAAGATGACAAAATAATCAATTAGGAAGGGCAAATCATTATGCTACATTCTATATAGAGCACACACACAATACAAGTGGAATAAATGTTAAAGATGAGTAGCAAAGTTTTAAAATCTCATACAATTAAACATTAAATGAATTTGTGCTCCTTTTAACCATTTTCATTGTAAACTTCTAACAGAACTATCACTTTGAGCTTCTCTTAAGTATGCAGTTTTATTTAGACATGCTTCAGCAATTTTGCACGCCATGGGGGGAAAGTCTAGATGTAGCAGCATGGCAGTGGAAATGGTATGAGAAAGCTGCAATGGAATCCTGTCTGCTATTATCAGTGCTGTAACATTAAGCAAGTTAATATTAACCTCTCTGAAACTGTTTTCTCATCTGCAAAACAGATATAATACTTACCTGGGAGACTGTAATGAAGACTAAATGGGAGTAACATTTATAATGAACATAGCACAGATTAGAACATAGCAAGTGTCCCAAGAAATGTTATGTTCATTTACCCCTTTCCTTCTGAAACACAGTTTTATTTTGGTAAGTATTTTTAAATTTAGTTTTGATTTAATCTGATTTAGGTATGTTAGTATTCAGGTTAAAGTAGCTATGTGGTACTACTAATTAAAGGAGAACTTTAACTATTAGCTAACCCTTTGGAATGTTTAGCTAACTTATTTGAATGTTTATTATACTTTACATCAGGGGTCCTCAAACTTTTTAAACAGTTCACTGTCCCTCAGACCGTTGGAGAGTGCGGTGCACATTCCACAAATGTGCACTGTGGGCCCAGGACGAGTCGGCTGCTAAGCAGGACAGGCAGCGGAGGCAAAAACACCAGGCAGGCCGGATAAATGTCCTCAGCGGGCTGCATGTGGCCTGCAGGCCGTAAGGACGCCTGTTTTACATACTATTAAGTAGCTATGTGTTTTAACCTCCATAACAATCATATGTGGTCATTACTCCTAATACCCCCATAGTACAAATGAGAAAACGGAGGCACACAGAGATTAAGGACATTGTCCAAGGTCACCCAGGTAATGAGTGGCTGGGCTAAAATTTAACCCCCCCAAATCTGGCTCCTGAACCTGTGCTATGCTGTCTCTCTTATGTAAATACATATATTTTCACAATAAGCTAAATTTTAATTGCTTTAAAATTCTACCAAAATATCATAAGAATATGTAGAATCATACTGTCATTTCTATCGCCTGGACACCACCACCTTGCATAGCATATAACTCTATAACTAAAAATCTCAGTTCAGATTTACATTTAAAATGTGACTATTAATAATAGCTTAATGCAAATTATCATTATTGTTAAAAACAGTAATGAATATTTGTAGAGAGCTGTATTGTAGAGGGCTCTTAGTTTAGACGCCATACTGAAGATTATTTCTGAATTGCTTTAAGGAATAGTTCTGATAGCTAAATTATGTAAATGAGATTTCAGAAGCACTAGTTAAATTATATAAGACAAATACCTCTGAAGTACTTGCGGAGATAAATGACTTTCATAAGTATTCCTTTACAAGTTATACTTTACTTTTAAGTTATTTTTACTGTTGTTTAAAACAAGTATCCTTCCCCATATATTTGCTAGTGAGTGCTTCATTGACCCATATGCATATAAAATAATACAATTTAGGGTACATTGGTATCATTTAGATTTCATAATTCAGATAGACTTCCTCTAATTAATCCAAGTTAATGAAGTTTTACTACATCACTATTATGAAATATTTACATTAAATCAATATTCAGTTTCCTTTACCTTGGCTGCAATGAAGCTCAGAGCCAAGTTTTATGCTATCACTATAGATTTTCCCAGTGTGCACTGTCTGTTATTATTTTTCCCTTTCCTCTCTCCCTTGTGTAACTTGCTGGATGTATTTCAGAAAATTTTAATGATTAGAATAGTGTTATATTTTTTACTGGAAGATCCATAAGTCCTCTCTAGAAGTAGTATAAATAAACAAATGAAACAATTAAATTTCTACCCACTGAAATACTATCTACTTTATCACTAAAGTATGTTGATAGATTCACTAACATAATTCAACCTCCTTAAATGATATTTTAACAACTTGCCTATTCAGTCAATTATATTTAGTCAGAGGTAATCTATCAAAATTAAATTAAAATAATTGTTTACTCTTTCAGTATATTATCTACAGGACATAAAATTTAAGAAGGCATTCAATTCTCTAGTCTTCTTTGCTAATAATCTAAACAGTTGCATTTATGGGGTTATTCATATAGCATTTACTAATTACAATTTGAAAACCATGAGACCTGAATTAAATAGAGAACTACTAATGCCCCTTTTAGTACTTGGCTAAATTATAATCAGTTCTTTGATTTTTTTAAGACTGTCTTCCATAAGCTTTGTCAATAGTATACTGGGGGAAGTTCAACAACTACTGATAATTTTATATCATACTCAAATATTCTATGAAGCAGTATAACCCTAATATAATATAACCCTAATAATGTGCTTTTATTCAACTAAACATATATATATACACACACTTCATAAATAAATTGGGATTGAATATGGTACCTATAAGTTATAGATAACCCCTATTAGAATAGACCTAATACATATTCTTATAACAAAGAGAATAATAAAAAATTTTATAAGTCTCCGAAGTTAATTATTTGAATTCCATGTAGAACAATTAAACTACTGCAAAGGGCCACTAATTTGAGAAATGAAACAATTACCATTTACATGGCAACAAAATATACTATGTTTCTGGTACATAAGTACCAGCTGAAGAAATGTGGTACAGTACACAAAAGTGCAGGTTTCATAGATGGTCAGACATGGGTTCAACTCTTTGGCTTTGCAATTTAATAGGTACGTAAGTATGAACAAGATACTTAACCTTTCCAATTTTCAGTTTCCTCATCTATAATTATGGATAAGAGAATTGTTGGATAGATTAAATGAGAAAGTACATGCAAACCATCTAGTGTAGTGTGTGATAGTAAGGTCTCAGTACCTGTCTCTTATTTTTATTATGTAAACCTGGCCTATAGTCAGGCTGAAATGTTTGGGAGAAACAAAAAGAAAACTGGGGGAGGAAGATGGAAGGAAATGTTGCCTAACTGTAACTTCAGAATAAGATGAAAATATTATGCATTCCAGAAGAATCTATAATATATATTTCTAAGAATGCCAAAAAGAAACCCATATTACTTACTTGTATTTCCTTCAACAGTCATATTGTTATAATACCACTAAATTCACTCACATTATAATTAAATCTTTGCAATTCACCTTTAAATTTTCACATGCATAATGATCTGTATTAATCTATTACATGATATACCCTTCAAATCTTACAAATAACAATATGGATGAAAATGATTTGATGGATGTGATTATGGATACAGATATTTAATATCAATATTTGATACAAATATTGATATTGATGCATATGAATACTAAAGCAATTTTTCTACTTAGGAACTTCAGGAAGTTTTCAAGAAAGAGACAGCTCCAAAGTTACAAACTTTAATTACTGAGTTTCCACATGAATAAAATAATTCTCACCTAGAAAATCCACCTGAAACTATTAAGTATTCTTACCAGCAATGCACGCTTTTCTTCATCTCCTTTAGTTTCTCTCTTTTCATTTTTTTTCCTGAATATCTCTTGAAGCTGAGAAGAAATCAATCAAGAATCAAATATCCAACATGAATTTCTGGGCATGTAACTACCATCACGTACTAGGTATTTCTTTCCACAAAGAAAACAATTAGCTTTATCCACCAAGAACATTTAAACTACTATAAATATATTTTCTGATTTCAGTTTCCTAAGAAAATACATCCTTTGGTACTGGTAACCCAAGTGAAGTCAGATGTACTTAATGTTACAGTTCTACTTTATCTCTAAGACATGAAGACATGGAGTCTGAGGCACACACACACATAAAAGGAGATGAGGCACAGGCTCTGCAGTGCAAGTTATCCTGACTGGGTAAGTTGGGCAAGTTCCCCCGATTATCTAAAGCTTGTTTTCCATATCTAGACATGGAGATAACTCCTTACCTTACAGGAATGTTGTGTGTTGTAAATATTACGAGTAATTATTTAGTACATTGCCTATCACATAGTAAGTTTTCAATAAATGTTATCTATTATTACAAATAGTATTATTTTCTCTTTAAAATCCTATGACTTTAATATTAATAAGAAAAGCCTGATCCTACCCTCTGCATCAGTTTCCTGGAGAGTTTATTGCTTTTGTTTGTATAACTTGGACAGCTATCTCAACTCTTTGTTTTATTTTATATAGCAATAGTTTAAAGTCAAATAAAATATATTACCTCCTATGATATATATAATAATAATAATATTTAAAAACATGCCACAAAATACAAATGATTTTGTTATCACATAAAATTATTTCCATACTTTTTTTAGTGAAAAGAACTATTACTAATCACTTTATAAATAGGCAGGAGAATCACAGATTTTATGTTTCTACAAATAACTTGGTCAATTCTGTCCCTTTCTTTCAGGAACTCTTTGCAAACAAATAAAAAAAGTATGATATATAAGGCAGCAGTGCAACAAATGAAAAGAGTAGACCACAGCTATAAAGCAAGGGCACGTTTTGCAAGAGTATAGAGTAGAAACAAATAGGAGTTCTATTTGAATGTTTTTATCTCCCAATTCCACAAAGAGACAATATTCCAAAAGACACTCATATAGGCAACTTCCAATGGACCAAGTCCAAAAAGTTAATCTTTAAGTCAGTGGTAAGGAACTTGGCAGTATTGTCATATATAGAACATTTAGAAAAATAGGCCCATTCTGAAAATTCCTAAAATATAGTTGTACACTATCATGTACAACTACATTAAACTAAACTTGCTCATTGTAGGATGGTAGAAGCCTATCTTTATCTACTGTAACAAAACCGAAAATTTGTAACCAAACGAAATTGTGTAACCAGACGAAAACTCTGACCTCCCCACCATTCCGCAAAGCACCAGAAAGAAGGTTCCAGCTCCAGTAGCTTGGGGCTCAGGGGCTGCACCTGGGCAAGGATTCTGTGGGTGAGAGTTTAAGCTTTTTGGTGAGTCCCAGTCACTAGTCTGCTTGCTTCCCTCTGACTGGATACTAATTAGCTTTTGATGAGGATTTTTATCTCTTTCCTATTATGGAAAAGAATAATGTTATCGATTTCTTCTGTGTTTCAACTTCTGAAATAAATATGAAACTCTTTAAGAGGTTTTCTGAGGGACATTTAATAGCTATGTTACAAAACAAAAGTAGAAAATGAAATGGCTATATATGTGTCAGCTTTCCTCTTTTTACTAGGAGAGTATATAGGTAAAGACAGATTACCTATATACAGGTTCCTATATACTGGAACATAAATGCTGAGGGTACACTTTGTTACTCTATGGAATAAATTAACATTAATTTCTATTTCAGAGAAAAAACAGAATAGGCATATTGCCACAGATACAGATGCAGGATACATGGTTAAAACATGAGAGAAAAATTCTGGAAGTGGGGGCGGGGGAAGGTGTAAGACTTTGTCCAACAGCGCCAACGTTGAACCAGTCAGGTGAGAAAGATCAAAGGACAAATACCTAAGAATTACCATCCTTTGGTCAAATAAAGGAGAAAGGAACAAGGAAGTGGGGACAAGACTGGAATACCAGGCAGTAGCAAGTGAAAGAAAAAAGGAAAAAGAACAATCATGAATCCTACATTGAGAAGGACGAGAGGTTCCTATGGAAGGAGTTGTGACTGGGTGGCTGTTATGATGAGGACTGAATATTAACTGGCATCTATAAACTCAGAATTGCCTGTTATTCACCCAATAGAAAATATTTGATACATTTCAAACTTCTAGGTAATGTACAAACAGCTGTAAGAATCCTTATACAGGCCAGGCACGGTGGCTCACGCCTGTAATCCTAGCACTCTGGAAGGCCGAGGCGGGCGGATTGCTCTCGGTCAGGAGTTTGAAACCAATCTGAGCAAGAGCGAGACCCCGTCTCTACTATAAATAGAAAGAAATTAATTGGCCAACTAAAAATATATAGAAAAAATTAGCCGGGTATGGTGGCACATGCCTGTAGTCCCAGCTACTCAGGAGGCTGAGGCAGCAGGATTGCTTAAGCCCAGGAGTTTGAGGTTGCTGTGAGCTAGGCTGATGCCATGGCACTCACTCTAGCCTGGGCAACAAAGTGAGACTCTGTCTCAAAAAAAAAAAAAATAATAATAAAAGGATTGATAATACACTTTAAAAGTACTTCTGTGATACTTGTTGCGCAGCCTGGAAAGAAAAATTTGACTACTTTCCTTCCATAAATAAGGATTTTCTTATCCCAAGTCTGTCTGTTTCTTTAAAAGAAAAAATTTCAGCTCTTTCATCTGAAATATTTTCAGAAAATAAAAATATCAACTCACATCTGAAATATTTTCAGTATGTTCACTTACTTAGAGTAACAGGAAAAATAGTTAAAATATGACACAAGGGACCAGTCCCAATTCTTGAGAAAATTATAACTGAAATGACCTATGAAAATAAATGTCAAGCATAAGAGATTACATATTAGGGTTTAAACTTCTAGAGGCTTCAAAAATAAAAATATAAAAGAGGCTTGAATGTATAATTTCCAATTTCCCCTAAATACAAAGAACAACTGCTTTTCTGAGACAGACTTTCACATACTATGAACTGTTTTAATTTTGTGAACCTTATAATGAGGTTCAATCTCTTTCCTCTTTTCACTTTTAGAGCATAAAAAAGAAAACTTCAACAGAAGAAAACTTGAAAGTGTCCTTCAAAAGGGAATTCAGTGTACATGTCTTTCTCAAAACATTGTACCTTTGAGAGGACTTGCAAAATGTTTAAAAAGGGACCCCTTCATAGGTACACATTCTACCACCATTGTGAAATTTTGAACCTGTAATAGCTGTCTAAAAAAAGAAAAGAAAAGGGAAAAGCTCATTATTTCTTGCATGTAATAATATTTTAGGAATCTAAACTTACTTTCATTACTATTTCTTTCAGAAAGAAATACAAATTTATGCCATCTCTGATAAACAAATTTTAAGCTTTAAAACAATCTTGAAAATAATAATTATTTGAAGGGAAAATACACTTAAAATAATAAAAGGTAAAGAGGAGACATTTATAGACAGGTGACATATATTATGTAGCCCACTTCCTGCCAGCCCTCTTTTCTCAGATTTTTCTTAGTTCGAATCTAAATAACATCCCATAAATTTTCAATTCAAACTCCCCAGAAGCTTCTATAGATGAGTACTGAACTGCAAAGGAAGATTCACAGCAACCAAAGATCCTAACCTTTCTGTAGTATGCAAAAACCACTATATATGTTTTTTCCTACATCCTAAACCATACCCTGTCCCATTTCAACAGGTGGCTTTCCTAACCAGCATTATTCTGATTCTTACCCATCATTCTGCTGGTTTAGGTACTTACAACTTCCAATTTTGCATCCATCATTGTTCTGGCTAACAAGATAACTTTTCAGCAAGTGTTTGAGATGTTCCTTGATGCACTCTGATTCTCATCACAGCAATCCACCATTGACTAGACTTGCATCATTACTATGGCTTTCCAGCCTGGATTAACTGCGGGTAGCCCTATTACTAACTGTATAATACCTGCTGGTCTTTAGCACTAACATTTTAAGTCCATGAGCAAAAACTACAGGTAAGAAGATAATTTTTGAAATACATATGCACTTTTTCCCTCCTCTCCCAATTTACTTTAACACAGTTCAGTGTAACATCATTTACACTAAGTTAAGAATAACACAGCGGTGTGAATTTTCTAATCATAGAACTACAAGGTATTTTAAGTGTTATTTATTTATTTATTTATTTATTTTTTTGAGACAGAGTCTCACTTTGTTGTCCAGGCTAGAGTGAGTGCCGTGGCGTCAGCCTAGCTCACAGCAACCTCAAACTCCTGGGCTCAAGCGATCCTCCTGCCTCAGCCTCCCGAGTAGCTGGGACTACAGGCATGTGCCACCATGCCCGGCTAATTTTTTATATATATATATCAGTTGGCCAATTAATTTCTTTCTATTTATAGTAGAGACGGGGTCTCGCTCTTGCTCAGGCTGGTTTTGAACTCCTGACCTTGAGCAATCCGCCCGCCTCGGCCTCCCAAGAGCTAGGATTACAGGCGTGAGCCACAGCGCCCGGCCTTAAGTGTTATTTCTAATGACAGAGTTTTATCGATATTCTTGTTTCCATACATTACAAATCCCCACAACTGGATGTTCTATTGGCAATATTGGCAATATTCTTTCGTTCATTCCTTTCTTCATTCATTTACCAACTATTTTTTTATAAGGTACCATATACAAGACACTGTTCTTGATACAAAGATGAACAAAAAAGATCAAATCTTTGCCATATGAACCTTGTATTCTAGTGTGGGGAGACAGACAAGAGCATGTATACAAACAATACTTTCAAATGGTTTAAATACTATAAAGAAAATAATATATGGCAAATAAAAAAAGAATAGATGGGAGAAGGGGCTATTTCATGATATTTTAGAGAGGATGGTCAAGTAAGGATTTTTTAAGTCTTTACATTTGAAAGGAAATCTGAATGATGTTTATTATCATGAGGATCTTGAGGAAAAGTTCTGATGGCAAAAGGAATGAACAGAAAGTACAAATCCCTGAGGTGGAAATTCAAGGAACAACAGAAAAGCCAGATGGCTGCAGCACAGTAAACTATAGCACGAAATTTCCTCCATCAAATGCAAAGAAATTTAACTAAAAACCGCAGTACACCCTGCATATACTTCATAAGAACTGCTGCATGTGAGAGGAAGAAAATAACAAAGTTTTAGGATGTGGATGATGGGTATCCTGATAGACTCACTAGTTAAGAGACTCATTCTCTCATATTAGTCTTGTAGAAAGCATGATCTGAATGAGTGCGGTAGGAAACTTATAAATTATGACGCGTCCTGACCTTTGTTGTCTCATGTATATTAAACCACAAGGATTGATACATGATATTAAATTTATAATTTATCAGAATTTTATTACTGTACTACAAACCATAATGGTTATGTTTTTGACTCTTGCTAGGGCTATGCTTAGCATTTTTCTGTGGCATTCAAACATGAATTTTGCCAAACAGCATGGATATACCTAAAGTGATTTTTAATAGTAAGAGAATCTAAGAAAGATCTGTTTTTAAGGTTCTGATTAAAAAATAAACTGTATCCAGAAAAAGATTTAATAAGTATACTTACTTGTTAAAATACATAAAAGAAAAAGATATTCTGTATAAGAAATCACACCTAGAAGGAAAATAATATCAGTTATATTTATAAAATATTACTTTGTCTTCATATTTATCAAAGTAAAATATTCTAATAGCAATAAACACTATGAATAAAGAAGTTACAGTTTTAAAGCAAATGTTAAATACTGTTTTAAATGAGACTAATGATTACTAAAAATTTATAGCAAAAGAAGCAGTAAAATTAATTTTACTTTAATTGTTCTACATGCCTCAGAAACTTATACAAAATTCTCATTAACACTCTCAAATACACTGGCAAAAAAAGTTAAATTATAATCTTTACTTAGAGTTTTAACTTTCAAATTTGTTGCTAGTTTTAATGTAATGTTTTAATGTAATTTAATGTTTTAACATAAATAAAAAGGTCAGAAATGGTTAACACTGTGAAGTGCTTAATTTTACTTTTTAGTAACACTTGAATAAAAACATTTAAACATTCTTGCTTAGGAGTTTGGTTTTTGTGCTGTATTTTAAAAATAAAACTCTATAGTTATTACTTTTTTGCTTTCAAATTATTATTATTATTGACAATGCTTCTATTAAATATACTCTAAGAAGTTTTTATTTTAATTAAATGGTTTATACTTTCTGTCTATTGCATCCCGAGTTCTCTGTAACCTCATACAAAATATTACAAAATATACAATTACAAAATATAAAAGAAGCTTATCTGGAGTAAATAGATATATACATTTTGTTACTTGAATTCTTGCTTTTGGAATATAATACCCCAAACTAGAATTAGTGGTTTAATTGACCTTCCTAGTAGATACTAAAAAAATTGAAATCAGGAATAGATATCTATAATACTTATCTAGATATCAGATAGTTTTGATGTTTGGAAAAGGGTATAAGAAATCGTTAAATATCCAGAGCATGAACTTTAAAACTCCATTTTATCTGATGTTCTTTGAGGCTACCCTCTTTGTTACAAAACAAAGAGAAGAGGAGTCACTATCAGGCAGTTTGTCAGAGACCTGAAGGGAACTACCCAGGAGGCCCTGAAAGGATTCATTCCCTTCCTTTGTTTATACTAGAATATTGTGACCTATAGACAGATAGTTCTGGTTGATTGCCATGAATGTTATGGGAGAAAGATTCTGGAATGGTCAATGTATATAAAGATACAATACTTAGATTCCATAGGGATCCCCCCACCAAAAAAAAGGGGGGGCATAAATGCAGGAGGAAAAAAGAAATGGGATCAGGAAATGGACTTGCTCTCTCTACAATCCTATTTCACTGACTGTAGTTCTAATCGTCCTGGTCGTATACACAAGAGATGTTGGTTGCTATAAAGAATTTTAATAACTGCTATGCATCTTTTTTTTTTTTGAGACAGAGTCTCACTTTGTTGCCCAGGCTAGAGTGAGTGCTGTGGCTTCAGCCTGGCTCACAGCAACCTCAATCTCCGGGGCTCAGCGATCCTACTGCCTCAGCCTCCCGAGTAGCTGGGACTACAGGCATGCGCCACCATGCCCAGCTAATTTTTTGTATATACATTTTTAGTTGGTCAATTAATTTATTTCTATTTTTGGTAGAGACGGGGTCTCGCTCAGGCTGGTTTCGAACTCCTGACCTTGAGCAATCCGCCCGCCTCCGCCTCCCAAAGTGCTAGGATTACAGGCGTGAGCCACCACGCCCGGCTTGCATCTTTTATTTGATAGTTAACTCAAGATTTCCCTCAAGTGAAGGATTACTTTACAGTGGGAGTCCTCATCATGATTATCATAGTAGGCACTTATCTGAAGGACTACATGGTTATTGAGGTGGCTTAATCTACAGGGAAGGAAAATAAAAGTGGAACTCATAATTTAATAAAAATGGTAAAGGAAAAGAAAAAATACTGCTGAAGATGAACTGTAGATTCCTAATGCTTTCCAATTACAAAAATGGAAAACTATAAGACTTTTTAATTTATGGTTACTCAGGATAAAAAAATAAAATTAAAATAAGTGCTAAGCATACAGGAATAGTGTGATTTTTAGAAGCAGAGGATAAGAAAGATGCGAACTAGGTTTCTTTTGAAAATTCAACAAAAAAAAAATTTAAGAGAAGTTCATTAAAAGTGTTACAGTGTTTAATTCCTATATCATGATACATTACAGTTAACTGAAAACTAAGTCTACGTAACATGTGTTTTCATAAATGGTGCACATCAATTTTTTAAAAAACTGCATAACATTTTCTTGTTGGGTAATATTTTAAGCAGATAAATATCTTCATTTTAAAGTTAATCTTCAATAGCTCTAAAGATTTAGTTTCAAAATTTCTCTGCTACTTAATCTCTATTAAAAAAGAAAAGCAAGACTCTCTGTACTTCTCTCTGTCACCTAATGTCTCTAAAACTTTCTGAGATCATGGATTACCTTGATAATCTAATCAGGATGATAATAGATATGCACTGTCCGAATGGTAGCCATTGGCCATGTGTAATATAGCTATTTAAATTTAAAATAACTAAAATTAAGTAAAAACAAAAAATTCAGTTCCTCAGTTACATTAGCCACATTTCAAGTACCTAACAGCACATTTGGCTAGTGGCTACAATATGAGACAGCACAGAAACAGAACATTTCTATCACTGCAGATAGTTCTGTTGGCACTGAATAGATTCTGTCCTGTGGAAAAAAAAATGCAAATATGCACATAACATGAGGAAGATTGGGACATGCCTAAACCCAGGACTTCGAGATTAAAACCTCTCCTTAACTAAAAAGAATTTCCTTCTTCTATGCATTTATTTTTCTCAGACTATATTTGATCCAATTTGCATTTTCCCATGAGACTGAAATTCACCATACTTACCTGATCCTTCTAAGCTTTGAATTTTCCTGATCCTATCATCCTACCCTAAGATCTGAATGGCAATCTTTAAGACAACTTCCAGGAAAAAAATTGCTAAGAGCTTTTTAAGACAGCTTGGCACAGTTTTCTCAAAGATTTTAAAACCCTACTTATGAAAAGACTAAAATAAAATATAAGTAGGTGTCTCTTCCTTTCAAATTCTATGTGAACGAAGTGGAAACAATTTGAATTTCTAATTCTACTTAACTAAAATATATGAATTATAACTACTCCTTTAAAGTATTTGTCTTCATGCTAAAATAAGTACATACAACATTTTCAAACCAATATTGGTGAAAATTGATGAAAAAAGAAAAATATAACTACTTATATGATTTCTTTAATATTTTATTTTATACATTCCTATATTTGAGAATGCTAAAAAGTATATTCATAACAAACACTCCTTTTTATGATTAAAGAGATTTTATTAATTTTTTTCTATAAATAGTATTAATACAAAAAGTACACTGGGAAAGAAAACTGCAATGAAAGCTATAATATATAATTTGATTGCTAGAAAATGTATGGATGAATTAACTTAGATATATGGATATTGATAATAAAGTAGTTTGGATTTTGCAATGAGTATGGTCTTTAAAAGAAATATGCTCAGATTTAGCTGCCAAAGAATAATCCAATTAAGTTTTTCATATTGATTATGTTCAGGAATATCTATAATTCCCCAGAAACAAAATGGAAGGAAGAAAAATAGACATTTGGAGACCTAGTATTTTTGCAAAATGCTTTCTGTGGGTAACTTTATACTTTTCAATGTTTAAAAAGCAACTTTTTTAAACTCTTAAAGTTCATTTTATAAAAAATTTGGAAGATAAAATTATATAAAAAGTAACATTTAATCACTCTCCCCAGGAATAACATTAATACCTAGAAACATTAATATTTTGGTGGTTTTCTTTTCAATTTTTTCTCTATGCATATGTAATTTTAAATTTATCTTAGATATGGGAAAACATGTATATATAAGTAGTACAAATAATATAGTATCAGTATTAAAATCATAAGTACTAAGGTTAACTTACCTCTTTCTTTAAGGTTTCGAAATAGCTTTGATGATCCTTTCCAAACTGGTGGTGTTTCTGAGAGTATCTGATTCAATTCCTATGACAGAAGAAATCACACTACTGATTCAAGGGTAAACCACTTACTTATAAAATCAAAAAAGATTCAAATGTCGATGCAAAAAATTCTCCACTTAAGAGACTTGAAATATGGCATTATTTATTCTTATTCTATGTCTGTGGTTCATTCAACCACAAAACCCAGTCTAAACATAAAACAAATGATGAATTTGCCAAATTAAATTCAATTAGCACTATTCAAAATTTCAGATAAATTTAATACCTGGAGGTGAAAACCAAATTAAGATAAAATAGTGAGTTTAAGTTCTCGGGCCAGTTATAAAGGGATACTTTTATGAAAGCCATGTAAAAAGGTAGATTTGCTTATCAAGGTCAGAGAAGATCACCTGGCTTCACATAATGTCTCTAGCACTTCTGGACTTAGGAGGCGTTGTGCAGAGGAAGAAATGAACAAAGGATTATGTCAGAAAGGAATGAAGAATATTTTAATGGTGACAAAGAATGATGGTATCAGATGAAGTGCAAAGTGAGAACTGAGTTATTGTGGCCACTGTTTCAATTTTTTTTCTAATTTTAACTTAACTGTTCAGTAAAGAACACAGACTTCAACTGTTGCTTAGCTTTTTTTTCTTTCTTTTTAAATCAAACTATTACTGCTGGTGGAAAATTACTGGAGAATTTAAACATTTAAATCATTGCTCACATATTAAATCAATTTTGAATTTATTGTATGTATTCTATAAAAAAACTAAGTGAAAATCATAATTTGGCTAATTGTGAAGAAAAGTGATTAAGAGGATTTGGTGAGATAATCAGAAATAATTTGAAATAAAATAAACTAGTCTGCTCAGTAACACATTAACAAACACAGAAACCACTTCTATTTTCAGATCTGATCCCTGCTATTCGTGTGGGTCCCCAACGATCTGAGAATCATCTGAGTTTGTGAGCGATACAGAATCTCAGTTCCCACCCCACACCTACCCAAACCACATTTGCATGTTTAGCAAGATCTCCAGGTGATTTTTATGCACATTCAAGTTTCAGGAGCATTTTACACGAACCCTTTCTAGTGCACTTGTACCTAAGATGCTCTATAACATTTACAAACATATTTTTCTTTCTTTTTTAATTGCAAAACTGAGTAGCAGGAAAATAAAGAAATCTTTGGGATGACAAAGGCAGCAGCAGCATTTTCAGGGGATTTATGGGCTCCTTGAAGCCCACCTGTGGATGCCTGCGTTCATTTCCTTCATGGTGTTACATCTGCACTGCAAGTAAGTACCAGATGCCACCAGGTGACCAGTGGTATCTGATTAGGGCATCAAGGGCACAGAGGTCAGAATTCAAGTATGAACAGCAATGAGAAGCTAGGATATTTACTATTTACACAGTAGTAAACTCAAATATTTTTGTTACAGTAATAGAATTAATAAAACATTTTAAATACATTTGAGATAGCTTAATTTATACTATCTCTGTTGTATTATAACTGTATAAATATTAAGTTAATCTTTCCCCATTTTAACTGTTTTCATGTCTTCTAATCTCATCTGTTCTCACTTAAACTAAGGTAGAGTTTGAGACTGTAAAATCATAGCTACATTTTACTGAGTGCCCTCTATGTGCTTGACAATGGGTTCACACAATATCTCATATAATTCTAAACACAACCCTCATTATGCATATTTTACTGAGACTTAAAGTGGGTAAGTAACTCACCCAAGGCCACACAGCTAGTAAATGGCAGAGCCAGATCCTTACTGACTCCAAGCAGTTTGTTTTAGTAATAACCTAATTTTAACTGGTCTAGGTCATTCAATCAACACATGGGATCATGTCTGTCTTCTCTGTTAACTTTAGGGACTTAAAAAAATTTATTAAAATCTTTATATTTCCATTCATGTTGGGAATCTCTCCCCACTCCCAGTGCCTTGCTTGGTCTCTTATATATAATAGTGCTGTATAATAAAGAATCGACTGATTGGCCTTTGTCCCTGGTTTTTGTGAAGGAGACTCTAAATCCTTGGATCATACCTGAGTTTATGCTAAGGAGATGACTTAGGATGGGGGCTGGTTATGATTAGAAAATTGGGGGTTTGAGCCAGCCCAACCTCTGGGGTGAGAACAGGGGCTAAAGAATGAGCTCAATCACATGGTCAATAATTTAATCAATAATGCAACCCCAGTAAAAATTATGGACACCAAGTTTAGTGGAGCTTTCCGACTGGTGAACACACTGATGTACTAGGAGGATGACACTCTGATTCCACATGGAGAAGGCACAGAAGCTCTGTGTTCAGGACCCTCCTAGACCTTGCCCTCTGTCTCTTCATTTGGCAAGTCTTAATTTGTATCCTTTACAATAAAACCATAATCAAAACTTTGATATTTTCTTGAGTTCTGAGTCATTCTAGCAAATTATTAAACCTGAGGGGAGTTGTGGAAACCTTCCAGATTTGTAGACAGCAAGGTCCAAGTGTGGGTGGCCTGGAGCTCTCCCAAACTTGCGGTAAGCATGTGAGACCAAGGCAGTCTTGTTGGGCACTATGCCCTAAAGCCTCTGGGATCTGACACTAATACTGGGTGGTTAGTGTCAGAATTATATTGCAGTATTGCAAGTAGATATAAAATAAATATTTGTTGGATTAAATTCAGTTTCCTAGAATTACAGTGGCCTTTTAAAGGATTTATACAATTTTCTTAAATGTGTGTAATTTAAAAAAATTATACAGCTAATACATATATATTATAGGAGAATTAGTAAGTACAGGAAATAACAACTAATTCTAATCCAGGGATTACAAACTTAAGTTTTAAACCAAATTTAAGTTTCACTTAACACCCTTTAAATTCAATTTTCTAGATAGTCATTTTTATATAGTATTTTTATTGTTTTTACAAATATTAAATCATTTTCTACACATTAATTTGAAACTTACTCTTTGGACTTAATATATCATGGGCATATTTTCCTATCAAATATTCTTCATTTTCATTTTAATGGCTACACAGCAGTTATCTGTAATAGGAGTTTGGAAATGGAACTCTATGCTCTTAAAAATATGGAGACAAAAGAGATATTGTTTATATGGGTTACATCTACCAATATTTAGTTTACTTGAAAATGAAAATAAGAACTTTTTAAAACATAAGAATACATATTCGAAGAACACATATTCTATTACCTCTTAGAGCAATAGCATCATTAGTTATCATACAGGCTCTAGAATATTCTACTGTATATTATGCTCTTTTACCCAACCTTATGTTTTCTAGGTCTATTCATGTTGATATACATAGCTGTAATGTATTCATTTTAACTCTGTATTTCTCTATTTCTTCTTTGTATGTCTATTTCACAATTCTCTTATCCATTTCCCTAATGATTGACATTTATTGTTTCTACATTTTTTTCTCTTACGATTGATGCTTTAGGAACATGTATAGGATTCCTGGTACAAACAAGAAAATATTTCTTCAGTATATATATCCAGAAGTGGGATTTCTCATATAAATTTTCAACTTTATTAGGCATTGCCAAATTTCTCTCAAAAGTAAATATACCCATTTCTGTTCTCACCTGTTTTTTTCTTGTTGTCCTTGCCAATTATTTGCATTGTCATATTTCTGGAAGCTAACAGTGTGGTGGGTGTGAAATAGTATCACATCATTGGTTTAATTTGCATATCCTTGGTTACTAGTGAGGTTGAGCTCCTTTATATACATTTATTGGCCACCCTAGCTATGTTTGTCCATTGTTTTCTTATTGAGCTGACTTTTTATACTGATTAACAGAAGTTCTATATGACTAAAAGACATTTTTTCTGTTAATATATTGAAAGCATATTCTCCCATCCATCATACACCTTAACCACCTTCAACATTGTTCACATTGTCTTTTTTTTTTTTTTGAGACAGAGTCTCACTTTGTTGCCCAGGCTAGAGTGAGTGCCGTGGCTTCAGCCTGGCTCACAGCAACCTCAATCTCCGGGGCTCAGCGATCCTACTGCCTCAGCCTCCCGAGTAGCTGGGACTACAGGCATGCGCCACCATGCCCGGCTAATTTTTTGTATATATATTTTTAGTTCGTCAATTAATTTATTTCTATTTTTGGTAGAGACGGGGTCTCACTCAGGCTGGTTTCGAACTCCAGACCTTGAGCAATCCGCCCGCCTCGGCCTCCCAAAGTGCTAGGATTACAGGCGTGAGCCACCACGCCCGGCCACATTGTCTTTTGATGCCAAAGTTTTTAATATTGTTTTGTAAAATTTGCCATAATTTCCCTTGAGTTTTGCTTTATGTGTCTCATCTAAAAAACAACAACAACAACCTCTCATGTCACTCTTTTTTGCTTTTAATCATTTAGAATTTTTGTCACAAATAAGAACTTAATCCATCTGCTAAAATCAGCTTTTATATATCGTGGTAAGTTTGAGACTTAATTGTGTTTGGCCTAAAATGGTAAGTTTATTATTCCAAAACCTATGATTGAGAGGTCAAACTTTTCTCCAGGGATTATAGCTCTTTCCATATATGCCTGGATCTGTTTCTAGGTTCCATAGCCTATTCTCTTGAGTTAGTTTTTTTAAAAAAAAAATCTGTTCAATGATATAATACTATTTTAATTATTATAGTTCTATTATTAATCTTAATATATGACTGACCCAATTATTCTCATCTCAGTGGGGGTTTTCCCCTCTTTCCTTTCAAAATCGTTCTAAATATTCTTGGCCCTTAATTATCCAAGTTAATTTAAAAAGTTAAATTCCAAATCAATTCGGTTGGAATTTTTATTAGTTACACTGAATTTATAGATTTGGAGGAAATCAATATCATTATAAAATAGCTTATTACCAGCCATGAACATGATACAGTTCTCCATTTACTCATCTTTTTAAAGATATAACTTAATAATGCCCTATACATCTTCTGTTAGGTATACTTTCAAGTACTTAAATAGTTCTTATTCTTATTGTGAAATATCTTATTTTATATTAGTTTCTAATTGCTATTGTTGGGGCAGAGCATATTATTAACTTTGGTTTATTGACCTTATATCCAGCAGCAACCTTGTTAAACTTTCATAAAATTTAAATAAACTTGAAATCTATGTATTTTTACATTTTTCTCTCAATCATGTTGTTTGTTGCCACTATTCCAATCCTTAGAGGCTCTTTTATTTTCTTGTCTTTTATTTTCAGGTTTTTCTACCTGTTATGGCCTGAACTGTGTCCCCCAACCCCAAATTCATATATTGAAGTCCTAACCCCTAGTACCCTAGATTTTCACTGTTTTGGAGAGAGGACCTTTAAAGAGGCAATTGGGTTCTCATATGAGGTCATCAGGATGGGCCCTAATCCAATGTGACTAGTGTCCTTATAATACGCTACATTAGCTTAGACTTCTGGTAAGATGCTGCAGAACAGTTGTGATAGCAGGCACATTTGCATCACACAGTAGTCCCCCCCTTATCTGCAGTTTTACTTTTTACAGTTTCAGTTACCCATGGTCAACTGCAACCCAAAAACATTAAATGGAAAATTCCAAAAATAAGCAATTCATGAGTTTTAAATTGCATGCTGTGCTGAGTAGCAAGATGAAATCTCACACTGTCCAGCTCCATCCCACTCGGGATGTGAATCATCCCCTTATCCAGTATGCCTACATTGTACATGCTACCCACCTGTTAGTCACTTAGTAGCCCTCTTATCAGATAGAAAAAATATGGTAAAATATATACTGACTTCAGTATTATCCAAGGTTTCAGGCACCCACTGGGGATCTTGGAACGTATTCTCCACTAGTAAGGGAGGACTACTGTACCTAACTTTAAAGAGAATGTCTCGAAAGTTTCACACATAAACATGATGTTTGCTGTAGGCTTTTGGAGGATTACCTTTAACTAGTTAAGGAAGTTCCCTAGATTCCTAATATTGTTCTTTTTTTAATAGCGAAGTTAATCATATACATGAAAGTATAAAAGGAATATATATACAATTTAAAGTTAGGAATAGTTAAGTTAAAAAAGAGAAAATTACCAGTACTTTAGAAGCCTCTTTGGGCCCAGTACTGATGATATTCTCCTCCATCTCCAAGGTGAACACTGTCTTGAATTTTATGTTAATCATTTCTTACTTTCCCCACCTATGAATATATCTGTAAATAATGTGGCTTTGTTAGGTAGACATTGAGGGACCTCTGGCCCTCTTGGAGACAAAGTCTGCAAAGCAATTGTCACACCCGGGGAAGGAGGGAACACCCTACCAATCTGTCAATTGGAACTTAGCACACCAACTACAAAGAATGCAGAGGAGTCCCTAGCCCACTGGCCAAGCAGCACAGGTATAATGGGTCTGGAAGGTGACCTAGAATGACCAGAAGCTAATTATCATGTCATTAGCTTAAATTTACATTGCAGTTCACACCCCGCAAGTGGGCTTTCAGAGAGGCTCAGGTGCAGTAAGACTCAGGTTATATAACTCTCAACTGTCCATCAAAGTGGTTCAATAGTGACATTTAAACCATGGGGAGGGCCCAACCTAGACAATATAAAACAGGACCCCAGCCCATAATTGGGGACCTCCTGTAACAACGGGGGTCTTGTTTGTCATCTGCGGTGAATGAATCTTGCTTCTTGCTCTGTAAACCTACATCTTGCTCTTGCTCTATAAACCTATTTTGTTGTTCTTCAATAAACCTCATTTCAAGTTTGACTTGCTTTTGGTGTGTCTGGTCATTCTTCAGCCAAGAGCACACCAAAAACCAAAAACAGACAGCTATGACCCAAGAGTTTCATTTTCCCAATTTTTGGACTTTATATAAATGTAATTATACTTTATATTTTTTTAATTATGTATTTTGTTTACATTAAGTTTCTGAGATTCAATCTAGTTAAAGCACTGCTATAATGCATTTGTTTTCATTATTGTATAGTATTTACTATACAAATATATCAAAATTTATTTATTGTCTACTGTTGGTGTATTAAGGGTTTTTTGGCCATTGTGTGCAATCTATAACACATTCTTGTGAATCTCATATAAGCAAGAGTTTCTCTAGGTATACACACTGGTATGAAATTACCGGACATAGAGTATATTCAAGTTTAACTTTAGCAGATACATGTGCATGCACTGTTTTAGAATTTAAATCCAGGCATGGAATTGCTAGGTATAGGGTATGTGTATCTTCAATTCTAGTAGATAGCCAAATTGTTTTCCAAAGTGGGTACATCAATTTACATTTATTTGCATCTGAGATTAACCATTGATTTACATCCTCATCAATCCTTAGAATTGTCTACCCTTTTAGCTCTGACAATCTGGAGGATAAAAAAATGTCACCTTGATGTAATTTAATTTGCAAAAAAAATTTATAAAACATGTATAAGATATATATTAACATGTATGAGATATATATATATTAAAAATTAATGCAGCAAACACATAAAAAATGCTCAACATCTCTAATCATTAGAGAAATGCAAATCAAAACCACAATGAGATACCATGTAACCCCAGTGAGAATGGCCTATATCAAGAAAACCCAAAACAACAAATGCTGGCGAGGATGTGGAGAGACAGGCACACTCTTAACACTGCTGGTAGAACTGTAAATTAGTGCAACCTTTCTGGAAAAGAATTTGGAGATATCTCAAACAGCTAGAAATAGAAATACCATTCGACCCAGCAATAGTATTGTTGGGCATCTACCCAAAAGAGCATAAGACATTCTATTACAAAGACATCTGCACCAGAATGTTTATGGCAGCACAATTCACGATTGCACAGTCATGGAAACAACCCAAGTGCCCGTCAATTCACCAGTGGATAATTAAAATTTGGTATATGCTCACAATGGAATATTACTCAATTCTGAGAAATGACGGTGAGCTTGTACCATTTATGCTATCCTGGATTAAGCTTAAGCCCATTATCCAAAGTGAGGCGACACAAGATCTGGAAAATGGGCTCCACATCCACTTGCTATCAAATTGGTACTGACTGACTAAAACTATGTTGCTCAAATGGTGGTAGTGTGCACCAGGGATTCGGGGTGGGGAGACCACATCTTAAGGATAAGGCGAGTATTGTGGAGGGGAAGAGAATACCTCTAATCCTTCTTAGGGAGAGGCAAAGAAATACAATGTAACCAAAATGTAAAAAAAAACAAAAACAAACCTCTTATCGAGTGGTGGGCAGGTGGGAGGGGGGAGGAGGGGAAGGGGATATACTTACATAATGGGTGTGGTGTGTACCAACTGGGGGTTGGACACACTTGAAGCGCTGGCACAGAGGGGAGGAGGGGTGGCAGGGGCAATATATGTAACCCCAACAATATTTGTACCCCCATAGTATAATGAAATAAAAGGAGGAAAAAAAATTTATGTATATATTCATGCAAAAATATATAAAATTTGTGTATATGCATGCATATATATGCCAAAAGCTTTAACTTACCTGTTTGGAAAGTGACTTCCATGTTTTAACAACTAAAATAAACAAACATAAAATAATTAGATAATAAATATTTCATGTAATATATATCCACATTCACTAACCATCTAGAATTATAACAAAACTTTTATGTCCAAATGGCAAAGTTTTCTGTAACCTCAAAATTTGGATCTAAGATATGTTCTTATGTTGTCTACTTGTTTTATATACTATATACTATTGATAATAAATAATAGTGAAATAGAAAATAGTTTTCTATAACCATATTATCATAATTTGGGGCTTTCTTGATTTATAAAGTAAATTAACTTACTCCATGTTAAACATTCTAGGGGCTTAAAAGCACAAATAGTGATGTTTATATTCATACTAGAATATAAAATACTATTAACACAGAGAAATTATTTTAAGTTGTTACTCATGATCTTTGTTATTATAGTATCCCTGAATATAATTCACAGGTCAGGTCTCTGTAGGGTGAAGGAGAAGGATGGGGACAAAGAGAAAAAGAAATGAAAGTGAGAGCAGGTAAAGTGACAGGGAAACTCCTGCCCTGTTTTTCATTCTTCCCTATAACTAAACAGTTGGGAAGAACATCTCCAGAACAAGAGTCTTATAGTTGAGTGAAATATCTGGAATCACTGTCTTTTTCTGATTCTTCCTCACACCCCGGAAGATCTCAAACACTTTTAAGTTTTACAATGTTGGGACAAATATGCAGTCATTATTGCTGTTTCCTTGGCTCAGGTATGAACACTATTAAAGCTAATGCCTGCCTAAAAATTATCTCCACGTTTATATGTGATTAAGTCTTATAACACAGCTGCATTAGGAAACTGGCAAATATGATTTCAGCTAACTATAATAATGACAACCAATTTTTTTCCTACATGGCAATGGGACTATTTCTGTGTAATTAATAGTATATTATATCAAATTCAACATTACAAAAAAGCCATCTTTTTGGTATGTAATTTTCTCTTTTTTAAACCTTATAACTCATTTTAATATTAAAAGAGAAGAAATAAAGACAGACTTCTTCTCTATGTAGGACGAACATCCTTCCTCACCCAAGATAATTTATACAAACATATAATCAAGTGATTAGAATCAATGTCTATAAATTAGAATTTAACATGTAACCTTAACTTTGATACTGTATACATTCATTTTATAAAGACTTTTCTTTTAACAATGAACAGAACAATTTAAGATTTATTATTCTGTTGCTCCTGAATATAGCAGTAAGAAAAAAATAAATGGTACAAAAGTACATGCACATACTCTTATGCAATGTTCAGAAGCTATTTATCAAAAGAGGAAGTTAGACATACTCTTGAGTTTTGTAGGGTTTATGAGATTTCCATGGTAAATTATTCACAAAAGACATATTCATTCTGCCGGAAATGTCACCATGTTCAATATTATTAGCTGTTTTAATAAAGACTAAGAGCCATTAAGATTGTTCTTCAAAGGATTTCCTAACTTTCCAAATTCCTTATTTCATATGAAGTTACTACATATATAAATATAACTTGGGTGGAGAGGGACTTCAATTCTATGGGAAATATTTTATTTCTTAACCTATAGGTTGATGTGCATTATATTTTAAATACTTTTTTGTATTTCTGAAATATTTAATAATAATTTTTAAAAATCTAAATTAAAATAATTTTTGATGTTACCTGAAATTAATCAATTACTGATTTTAGTTCTAGAAGGGAGAGTCAACTTTTAGGTTCTATTTAAATAGGTAAAATAAGAAATTTTCCAGTTTTCAAAAACTAAATTATATCCAACAATTCAGATATATATCCCAATTAACATTTATTTGAACTATAATTATTAAGCAAATATTTACACAGCATACCATTTTTCCTATTGAATGACATCAAAAAAATTACATCAAAGATTTTTTAAAAATCATGATTATGAATTCAAATGACAATGATGATGACAACAGATACCAACATTTATTAAATATTTACTATATGTCAGGTAATATACTAAGCACAATTGATTCATTTAAACCTGAAAAAAAAGTCATGAGGCTGTTATTGTTTTTATAAACGAGGAAAAAAAGATTAAATAACTTAATCGAATTTTCAAAGCTAGTAACTACAAGGTTTAAAGACAAGTCTGTCTAATTTCATTATGCTACTTTTTTATGTATCTGATTTAATATTCAGTCCATGAAGCATTTTTCTATTCTGAGGCAAATATTTCTTTTTAATACCCCATATTTTCAAAACAATTTTTATAAATATCTTAACCTTTTGTGATTGTTCTTAATGAAGTTTTTAAAATGTTGTGGTTATCAAATGTCCTGTGCACATTTTTTATAATAAAAAACAGGGTTTTTTTGGTTTTTTTTTTACTGCAAAGTATGGTTTTGGAATACCTATCAGAAGAATTACCTCAAAAGTTATTTTCAGGCCGGGCGAGGTGGCTCATGCCTGTAATCTTAGCACTCTGGGAGGCCAAGGCAGGTGGATTGCTCGAGGTCAAGAGTTTGAAACCAGCCTGAGCAAGAGTGAGACCTTGTCTCTACCATAAATAGAAAGAAATTAATTGGCCAACTAATATATAGAGAAAAAATTAGCTGGGCATGGTGGCACATGCCTGTAGTCCCAGCTACTCGGGAGGCTGAGGCAGCAGGATTGCTTGAGCCCAGGAGTTTGAGGTTGCTGTGAGCTAGGCTGATGCCATGGCACTCACTCTAGCCTGGGCAACAAAGTGAGACTCTGTCTCAAAAAAAAAAAAAGAAAAGTTGTTTTCAAAAAGTGAGCTGCTAGTGAGTCTGTTATAAAGAAAATATTCTAGAAAATAATGAACCAAAAAATTTCAAAACATGAAATTATGAAGTATCACTTAAAGAGTAACTTCTTAAATATAAGTTTGACAAAAAAATTAGAGAATTTGGTACAAAACACCATTTAATATTCTCAGAAGTCCCTTCCTTCAAAAAATATTTATTATATACTTACTATGTGTCAGATAACCACATTCTACCTTGGAGGTAATTGTTCCTGTATTTTATTTTCTCCTATAACACTGTAAGTTTCTAGAGTGTCGGGATTTTATATCCCTCTTAGTACACAGAACAGACCCTTAAACACATAAGTAGTTGTATACATATTAGATATATTTTTATTTAATTGATTTGGTACAATGTGGATTCTTTGTATTGATTATTAAGTTAGGATAGATTTCATAACTTTTAAATCAAATAAAAAGTGGCATTCCATGCAACTGACCATTCTAGCCATTTTCCTTTACTTGTATGAGTCCTTACTCTTAAGATTTTCTTCCTATGTCTCTGGACAATTCTATGTCCCTTTTTGAGGTTCATCCTTTTCAAGCCTTTCGTATGTCTATCTTTTAAAGTGCAGGAGTTCTTCAAAGATTGGATTGGTCCTTGGTCACCTCTATTCTCTTTTTCTTTGAGACAGGGTCTCACTCGATCATATAGCCTAGAATACAGTGGTGTGATCAAAGCTTACTGCAGCCTCAAAATTCTGGACTCAAGTGATCCTTCTGCCTCAGCCTCCTGAGTAGCTGTTAGTACAGGCATGTGCCACTATGCCTGGCTAATTTTTCTTATTTTTTATAGTGGCAGGGGTCTCATTATGTTGCCCAGGCTGGTCCTGAACTCCTGGTCTCAAGCGATCATCCTATCCTGCCTTGGCCTCCCAAAGTGCTGAGATTACAGGTGTCGTCTATATTCTTATACAATACTGTTTCCCTAGGCAATTTCATTCATATGCATGCATTAATTACCAATGATGCACAGATGAATCCCAAATATATACATCTCTCTCTCCCCTGATCTCCAATGGAAATAATCTGAAGCATCAAAAATTAATTCATTGAGAGCTAGTTTATAAAGTAGCCAATTTGCCAAATTATTGAGAATTTAAGGTTCATTTTTGCCACATCCCTGGCTCTGGAGAAAAAGTGACTATAATCATTCCATTCTAACATAAAGTATTTATTTGTGTGAAGTTTGAAGCAGATATCAAACAGCTGATTATTTGGTACAATGATTTTTAGTGAGTGATCTTTCGGTGAACTGAAATGATGATTAAGAAACAGATCCAACTCTTCCTTTTTCTTATTACCTGGATTTGTGAGGTAGATTTTCTTCATATACTTCATGGAAAACAACAGGTTGTAATAGATTGAATACAAAAGCACAAGAGAATCCAGCTATCTTCTATTAAGTCAGATATTAAGAGATTTGTGAGAATGTACATAATGCTAAAAAGTTGGAGAGCCACTGCTCTAAAGCATAAAAAAGTAAGAAACAAACTATATCTAAACTGCAGAAGCTAGCGCAGAATGCAGAAAAGATATAGGTAGAAATATTGCTCAGGGCTAACTTCAAAACCAGTCTTCTGAATTACTGTGCTCAGGGTGGATATAAAAATAAATAGGCAGAACATGAATCTTTTATGAAAATGTCAAAAGTAAGGTGGTGTTTAAATTTGTCATACTGAGAAAGACAGGGCAACAGAAAGTTACTGAAAAGAGAAGAGATACAAGTAAGAGTTTACAAGAAATACTACTCTGGTAAGATTATATAGCATAATATCTTTTGAAATACCACATTACTCAGTTAGTTGTTCTAAAAAACTTATACTGTTCCATATTTTTACAAATTAAAGATAAAAAAATCTTATAAAATTATTGAGATAATTTTTTAAATATACTTACATTTGGGCTCATCTGTTGTAACAGCCAAAATAAAATCATACGGAGTCATGAATAACTGCCCTTCACATTCTATAGAAGCAAATAAACGAAATCGCCTCTCCCGAGACGTAGCATAGAGGTCTAAGTCTTCAATGTCTGTTCTGCCAACAGTAACCTAAAGTTAAGAGAGCAAATAAGTTTGGACTGTGTGAAATATCACCTCCTTTTAGAAGGTAAAATGCTTTTAATTATTTTGAAAGTGAATTAACAGTAAATGAAGTGTGAAAATATTCTGTCTTATCATGAACCTTAATCATTTTATAAATAAATTATCCACCTAAAATGAATTAATGCTCAAAAGATCCTACAATGGATATCATTAAAGGCTTGAAGGTTTTAAACTGACACTTTGAAGAATTCGTGATTTTTTTTTTTATCTCTTCACTTCAGTCTTAGATAACATTAAATTATGGAGCCAGTGGTATCTCTAGAAAGAATATCAACACTTGCTGAATGCCTACTATACACCCTCTACAGCCTTATTTTTTTGATTAGAAGTCTGTTCATTAAATTCCATAAATTTTCTAAAAGAAGAAAATAGAACCCTCATAGGCTGCTGATGAATACCACTAAGGAAACCATTTAGTGGTAATGCTTAGATTAGAACTGAAATTGCTCATTCTAGATCACTACAGTATAGATATCATCAATGGTCATTCTAAATTTTGCCTAGAGTTAGTTTGCCTAAAATTAATAAAGTGTATGTGTATGGGGGGAAGTCTCTTCTCCTTCATTTCAAAACCTTTCCTTGTAGTTAATTTCCCATTGTTATTTTCTCTCTGTAACTATAGAAAATTTATTTTTTAATAAAAGGATTTTTTCCTGACCACAAAAGTAATACATAGCTATTGTGTACAATTTAGAATATAGAAGTTTTTTAAATTTATAATTGTAATTTGTTTTTGGCAAAAAATGGGATTATATACCTGACCTTTTTTAATTATCAATATATCAGGGCCAATTTCCTATGTTACTATATATTCTAGTAGTCATGGTATACAATTGGAAGATAGAATTTTAAAAGTTACAGCTATAATTGTTTTGCTTTTGTTGTGGCAAAAATGGGATTATACCATACATATTATTCAGTAACCTGATCTTTTTTACTTAATTCTTTAAGGCCACTTTCTTATGTCACTGTTCTAGTAGAAGACCATTTTTTTAGTAACTGTATAATATTCCATAGTAAATGTTTGTAGCATAACAGAAAGAATTCCACAAGGTTCAATATTCAGGTGATTTCTAATCTTTTATTATTACAAAACAATGGTATGATGATCAGCCTTGATAATATTTGGTAATATCCACAAATAATTCCTTGGGATAAATTCTTAGGAGTGAAATTGATTGGTCAAACAAAACATTTTTGTATATACTATCAAACTGCCTCTGGAGAGTTTACAGCAATTGACATGACTAGCAATAATACATAAATTACATTTTTCACATATTTCATAAAAAATTGTGTTTATTAGAAAAAATTCTCATTTAAGGTAACAAGCTTATTACCTTTATTGTTTATACTTTGTCTATTAGGTTAGAATGCAGATTGTGTACAAATTATTAAAATAATTTATATATCTAATAAGTTGAGAATTCATAACAAAACAATCCATAAGAACTTTCAGCAAGGAGATTACATTTTTTATTTCTAAATTATACTTTCTTAAATGAAAAACCAGGTGAATGATTACTCTTTTCCACCATTTTGAAGACTATGACTTTTCAAGACATTACACAGGAGTCAAATAAAAACTAAAAGAAAATTTCACTTCCCATTTTTTAATGGCACATATAAGAAATAAAATACATGGTCTCTGCCTTTAAGAAATATATAATCTAAAAAAAAGAAAAGAGATATATAATCTATACAGAAGGGCAAATACTAGTTGGAGAGAAAAAATGTACAAATACAGAGAAAGGGAATGAGTCAAGTGCAAGTAAATAGAAGAAAAGCACTATAGGTTGAGGTTAGTAAGAAAGCTTCAAGAAGAAGAAATACAAATTTTAATGTCAGGAAAAGATATGAACATTTTAGGTTTATATAGCATATTTGCAAGATGGTAATGGTCTTCCTGGAGCAGAGGACTTGCATTCAGTTTTAGGAGATCCACAGGTGGAACAAAGACAAAAAAGAAAATGATGGTTTAGAAAGATAAAGCAACCTGGTACCAGAGATAAGCTGGCTCAGCAGCATATTAACAACAATTGCTTCGGTAATCCATAGGTATCGGGAAATTGTTTTGTCTGTCGTGGGTGACACATGGAACACTGAACAACTTGAAGGTAAAAATGGGCAGTAATCTCCCTGAATCTTAGTTTCCTTGTATACATATATTCCAGGGGTTTCTTCTTCCTCTCAGGGCAGGGAAACCAATTTTGTCTGTGCCTTTTTCTTGCTAGGCCATTTGCCTGGGCCTAGGTGACTCCAATTAACCATGATGTATTTCTAGTGAATTTAATGAGGACCACTCAGCCCACAGCTCCCACTGTTTTAACATCACAGTCTGAAGCTATACCTCATCTGATGTTCTGAACCACAATTTTTGGCCTATAACATCCGTATCTGCTATGACCTAATATGGACTTGATCTGTGTTCTCTGCCTCTACCTCGTGCTGCCATTACTGCTCCTGAGGTGCCTGTGTTTTCTCATCAAACTTTCCTTCCTTGAGCAGAGTCTATCAGTGGCCCCAGCATGCCAAACCTGCCAAACGACTGTAGCTGGCAATTCGATCTGCCTTCTGTGAGCTCATGCTGACAACTCCTTCTTCTCTTTTACCTCTCCTAACAATCAATTAACAAAGCCTCTGAGTTCCCCTCTAATTTCTCACATCCACCCACTGTCACCACCTTTGTTCAAACACTCATTACTACTTCCCTATAGTTTTACAGTAATGGCCTAACTCATTTCTGCCTCTAATCCATTCTATACTGAAGTGAGAAAACAAGCAGAACTTTAGAAAAGTTTTCATTCTTTAACCACCTGAGTAAGGGTATAAGAAGAAATCTCACCATGTAGAGTTAAAGGTTTTCATTTCATACAACTCCACTGTATGAATTCCAGCCCTTGCTGCCTTTGCAATAGTCACCACCATCTCTGGTATTAAGTGGTGAGCAAAGGTTTATTTAGCACTACCTTAAAAGAAGGTCTGGGGAGATAATTAGGAATGAACGGTTTGTGCCCCTTATATCCTAAAAGGGAAGAATATGACTTATGTATAAAAGGGATAACCAGAGCCTGGTGCTTAAAAAGGGCTTCCCAGTACTGCTGACTTGTTGCTTCTGCTCACACAGTCTAATAAAACACACTGGTACTGCTCACATGAAACGTGAGCTGGTAAAAGGTGAAGAACGATTTCCCCATGACATCCCAGTAAACTGGCCTGATTCCAGAACAGTCTACTCATCATCAACAAGGAGGACTGGGCTCATATGGCTGGAGAATGGGATGGAAGGTAGAGCAGAGCAGGAAATCAATACTTGGGTTGATTTTAAAATTCTCTGTTCTCTTCTACTGACTTATTTGTCTCTTTCTACTCAAATGCCATAGTGTTCTAATTACTATATATTTTGAGTATGTTTTGACATTAGGTAAAGCAATACTCTGTCTTATTGTCAATCTTTTAAAAATATTTGTGATGATTGATATGTAATTTTCTCTTCTAGATAATCTTTGAAATCAATGTGACAAGTTTGATTTTAAAAATCCTACTGGCATTTCGTTTGAAAGGACACTAAATTTTGGTTTAATTTAGGGAGACTTGACAGTCTCACAATATTGATTTTTCCAACATGGGAACACAGATATCTATTTATTCAAGTCTCCAATTATGTCTTTTGGTAAAGTTTTGCAGTTTTATTAATATAAATTTCAAACAAACATTTTATAGTTTCTGTGAAATTTGAATTGGGAATACAATTTTTCATTTCTATTATATTTTCAATCGGTTATTTCTGATGTATCGGAAAGCTAGTAACTTTAGTATATTTGGCTTATATCCAATCAACCTTATTACATTTCTTCATTAATTTTAATAACTTTTTTCTCAATATTTCTATGTAGATAATCAAAAATTCCTTCAAAATAGGGATAGTTATAGCTTTTCCTTTTCAGTATGTACCACATTTTCATTGCTTAATTATTAGAGTTCTAGGTCTATAAAAATGTTGAATATTATCAGTAATATTAAGCATTCTTGACTTATTCTCTGTTTTGAAGAGGATGCTTTAATGAATTGCCAGTAGAAGCAATGCTTGCTGTTAGTTTTGATAATTATCCTCTAAAAATTACAGGAACAAGTATTTACCTTGTCTCCTTTGTTAATTGAAAAGGAGTTTAGAGTTAGAATGGTCCTTAGAGATCATTTAGTCCTCTTGTTTCTTCCCCTTTTTACCAAAATAGAAAAATAAATATCAGTCCCCAAACAAAAATTTAAAATGTGTTGGGCAAGTAGAAGCATAAATAGAAATCCCCAAACAAAAAAACTCAAATTATATGGGGCAAAAACGCTATTATTTATATACTCATTTAACCATCTATAGTTTCCAAGATGAATATCTAACATCAACTAATGAGCCAATTAAACTTCTTCATTCAAAAGCTACTTTGTGTATGTCTGTTATGTATTAATACAAATGAATTAATTAAAAAGTATTAATAATTAGTAAATTGGAAAAAATTACTTACATTATCTAAAACTGTTTTAGGGACAAGTACAAATAAATAAGCTTTGTTTAATCATGTTCTGCCTACATATGCCTAACTATTAATGCTTTCAAACCTTTCAAGAGTCCATATGCTCATTTCTCTGTAGTTTTATCAACAGATTATTTTCTTAGTGAATGATCTGATAGCACAGGATAAAGAATTCAATGATTTTTTTACTATGATATGGTTCTGACCAAGTTAAACTTCACATGTAGAAAGAAGGCTGATTTGGATCAGTCCATGAAGCTCTGCCCAGCATACCTGATCTACTGGAACCTCTGAGCAAAGAGGCAGCTGCAGCCAGCAGACTACCCAAGTGCCAGAAGGAACGGAAACTTCTAGGAGATTTAATTTTGTTTGTGAACTTTCCAAAGTTTAAAAAATCTAAACCCTCTGGAGTTTTAA